CGAACACTGCAAAAACGTGCTCAAAATTCCCTAAGGATTACGCTCATGTTTTTGACAGTAACCTGCTCAGTTTCAAACAAGCCATCTCCGGAGGTGGCTTACATTAAAATTGAGTTAGTCTTTTTTATATCAAAATTCCCCCCTCCCACAGACCAAGACCGGAATGGAAGTGGAGGGTAGTAGAGAGGTTTCGCAAAACCAGGATTCCTGATCCTAGTCCCAAGTAAAACGCGGACTGGGACGTGGACCAAGAAAACGATAGAAGAGCTTTTGCACGCTGTCTTGGTCTGCTGTCTGGTTGAGTGTAGCGCGATTATTTGTGCGAGGTGCGGTGCATCAATATAATGGAGTTGGTGATCTTTACTGGAGCGGGCACATCGAAGTCATTTGCTTACCTACCTGGGCTGCAACATGGACTCCGAGACTTCGAAGAGTCGGGTAAGCGTGGCACGCCGGCTCCCGAGTCCGACACTCGAGATGGGTTTGTTCGCGAAGAAGACAGCCAAGACCAGTATGGACCACCTAGCTTTGGCAGCTCCTACCTCGATGAAGACTCCACGTCGGAGGGAAGCAGAGAGGGAAGCGACTCGAACGAACGAGCTCCGCGTTTGAATGACAGCCGTTCTGAAGCTAGAGACGATGCGGAACCACCCAAGCAGCGCTCATTCAGCAATGCCGTACCACCTGAAGATATTCCGAGCAAGTCAAAGCGCAAGAAGTTCACCAATGCGGATGATGTCGCGTTGCTTCGGCAAGTCCAGGCGGATATGCCCTTTAAGGCAGCCAAGGGCGGGGTGATGGCGAGTTGGGATTCGCTCGCCAACAATTTAAAGACGCTCAAAAATTTCTCCAAGAAGGACACCATCTCGGGGAAATCTGCGCAGGCAAGATTCAACACGCTCGTGATTTCTTATCGCAAGTTCGACAGGAAGTCAGAGGGCGCGTCGGACATTGATCAGCGCTACGCGGAGAAGAGACAACTGCTCGATGACCTTGTTTCGCAGTTCGATGAGCATGAGCGAGATGAAGCTCGTCGTACCCGAGAGCTGAAGGATAAGCTCGCGGCAGAAGAGAACGCAGGCAAAGTTATGCGAGACGCTGGCCTGAAGCGCATGAAGGAGCGTAAAAAGAAGGCGAGGATCAAGCTGATGCGGACAAGAGTGCCAAGCGTTACAAGCCCAGCGTCATCGACTTGATGCGCAAAGATATGCAGGCTGACCGAGAAAAGAAGGCCAAGCAGTGGGAAGCAGACAATGCAGACAGGTATAAGCAGTGGCAAGAAGAAAGAGAGGAACGCCAAGCAGAGCGTAAGCTTCGCCTACAACGTGTGCAGATGGAACAGATCGAGTCCGCATGAAAAATGAACATCTTAAAAAGATGATGTTACAGCTAGCCCAGCTGCAGGCCCTGGACGTAGTGGTCGTGGATGTCCAAGCCCAGACCAGCGTCAACTCTTCTACGGTCGTGACTCTGCACGCCACCGCTATCAGGCTTCTCGTGGCTCCAGCGACGACACTCTTGAAGACTGACGTGGGATCAGCTAAGGTAGCTCCGCATGGTGGGCGGAGTCATCCGGCGGGTGCCTCAGCGGCAGCGGTGGCGCCGAGGAGAAGGACGACATATCGCAATCTTCGTTCCATCAATGAAGCCAAAAACACAGTCGAATGGGGATACCTTCTCATGAATAGCGTATAGAAGAGCGTCACAGTAATCTTAAATTCGCTCTTCTAGCACCTTTTCAGCCATGAAGATGGCATCAGCAAACGTATAATGTACTAGATCAATCATGTACAGGAAGACCCGGGACATCGCAGATATAGATCTCCCAAAGTGCTCCATCATGTCGAAGTAGGTCCTTGGATACTTCAGCCGATACAGCGTCAGGCACAGAGCCTCGATACCATTAACACGGTCCCGTTCGTCCGTGATGGCCACACCAGAAATACGAAGCAGTACGAACAGCTCACGGATGCCATCGCTATTGAAGCGAAACATTTGTTCACAGTTAGCCAGGATAATTGTCCAGACGAAACACAACAGCAGGAATCATTGGGCGCTCGATGTAGAAGTACGCGCACATGTACATCCACTGCCGTGTCTTGGGCAGCCATGAAGACCGCAACATATACCATATCCTAGCCAATTCGTCATCCGAGGCCATGACTTTCCTCTCAACTTGGTGAACTGGAAGGCTCCTACCAACTCGGATTCAATTCTCTCGTCTTGTTTCGCTCCAAAACTCGAGTAAGGTCGCCTAGAGCATGACGATACGTTTTACCTCATCTGATTACAGAAATCTCCGCAGGTCAAAGCAACGGGGACGCTGTCCTGGCTGAGCCGGCAGACTACGGACCGTCCGACAGCCATTTCCTGGTTGGTTACCCTACTCGTCGAAAAATGCTTCTGCTATGTTCACCGGAGATCGGATCGGGATTGAGAATCGCGTTGCGAAGCCTCTCTCGTGCTGCGCCGCTCCGCACCCGTCTCCAGCCCGGAGTTGGGTGCCCTAAGGCGTTGTGCGGGGCGGTGGTTGCAGACAATACGGGGCAATGCGGTAGAGCGCGCAGGATCTTGAGCCTTCGTTGGCCAGAGGTCGCTTTCGTCATTTGTTGCGCACATGGCCTAAATAATCTGGTAAAATCGGTTCTCAAGTCTGACTACGCAGAAGTCACCAAGAAGGCGTCGGCGCCTTGAATGCTTCGTCGGCCAAGTGGTTGGTGGAAGCCGATGCGTGCATGAGGGAACCCTATGGCTACAGCTTAAAGGTGAAACAGTTATGTAAGACGAGATGGAATAGCATGCGTGGATGCTTCGCATCGCTGTTACGAATCCGTAGTGCACTGGAGCTGCTGGAGGTCAAGTTCAGATGTAGCAGATTTTCCTTCGGTATTACGGGGTTTTGGAGAAAAGACGTTCTGGGATTTGCTTGAAGACGCCGAAAAAATTGTCCTCCCTTTTGCTTATGCATCACTAAAGTTACAACGCGATGAGAACACAATGGCCGACGTACCTCGACATCTTCACTGGGTTTTCAAAGAACTAGTACGGAAGCCGAAACCTCGTTCGGGAAGTTAAGAAAAGATGGCGGCAGTGTGAACAGCCTCTTGTGCTTCTAGCGCTCTTCTTACACCCTGCACACAGACAAGCGGCTAAAGCGATTTTAGATATAACGCCACTGACCTCAGTGTGTTCACTTTGCCGCATTGGGATGTATTACTTCAAGCGCTTCAGCATTGGCAAGGATATGGCAGGCTTATATGAAAATTTACACAATTGGATCGTGAATGACGATGCCACAGGGCTATCGTTTGCTGACTTCAGCTCAATTGACGCATACTGGAACTGTATGCACTCCGAGACGCCACGAAGTAAGTTGCCAGACCTCGCTCTGGTAGTTCTATCTATTGCTGCAAATACGGTAACTTGCGAACGTTACTTTAGCGAGCTATCGTTAATTCACACGACCAAAAGAAACAGGATGTCACCAGATAAAGGACGAAAGCTTGCTTTAGTTCGGAAGTAGGTACGTGAGTACGACGCCGGCCTAGATGTCGCGAAGAGTAACAAAACTACACGACTGATCGACCCCACAGAGCGCACACGCCTTAGATATCGCGATGATCGCTTCGAATGTTTCGAGCCTGAGGTGGATGTTGAAGGTGAAAACGTCGTTGGAATTGATACTGCGTTTGAGTACTGGCAGGCAGTATTTTTGCGAGCTCGAAGGTGACGACGGTCCCCCTTTACCCTCGATAATACCGCTATCGCTGACAATGCAGATTCTCCGTTAACTGCAAAAGATGCATCATTAGCAGAAGAGAAGCAATTTGCCGCAGTCCTCGAGACGATCAAAATCCAGTCATCCGACCCGATTCCAGAGCGAGACCGACGTCCATTTCCGAGACACAACGACAGACTCTTTCTTCAGGAACAGGGTTTTCCAGGATTGCGCGGGAAAAAGGTAACTATAGCTGAGCTGTCCAAGATACCCAACACACCGTTGGCTCAACCAGGTAGGTTCGTTATTGCTTTGACGAATTTCAATAAGGTTACATATTCTCTTCCGCACGCACAGTATGGCACTTCGCAAGTCCACAACCATTTCGGCTCCGCCAGTAAATGCCGACCATCATGTCAACTGACGAACGCTGCGAGAAGACGCCCTCGAACTCTACATGCTCTCACTTTATCCATTCAATTTTGTCAATTAATCGTAGCTCCCATCTTGCTGTACTTCCATCAGAAAGCTTTTGCGTCGTCGTTGGTGTGTGTGGAGGCATTGTGAGCGCTGCCACCTTAGCTGATGGGATTTCTCATTTATCCATGACGTCCCGAAGCAGCGCAATGATGTTAACACGCTCGTCCAGAGGCAGCACGTACACTTCCAGCACGCAATCTCGACGTCGAAAGCCTCGGGAGATCCAGTGGCCACTCGCAGTGAGTACATTCTGTCCAAAAGCCGACGTCCAATTGTTCAGCGACAAGCTCATCACTTCGACATCAACCATCATCTCCTTCAAAATTTCCCGCTGCGAGTAATACAAATCCGCTAGCGCTAGCTTGATCGTGTCCTCAGACGGGAATTTCAGCACGTTTCCTCCCATTTCTCCGCCGAATACGTAGATAAAGTTTAATCCAGGTGTTGGCCACTCCGTAGCTCCCCAAAGCGCAGCATACTGAGCTCAACATCCATGTGTGAGACATCCAACGGCTCATACTGGGCGATGAGGTACTTTAACAACCGATGCGTTAGGATCTTCTGGTTGGCTGCACTGTTGACACTGCTTACTCCAGAGCTGTTCCCCTTGATACTGGAGCTATGTTGATGTCCTCTGCCTGTAGTCGACGCCCTCGATAGCGTCGAGTAGTCGAAGAACCTCTGATCCAAGCCCACTCCAAGACAGGCAAGTTCATCCTCTTGGTCACAAGACCCACGGTACCGCTGGTTGGCATCGAACGTGCCACACGACGCGGAGTGGAGCAACAGATACCTCTTTGAGCACAAAAATGCAATCGGCCAACCACACAACCTTTACAAAAACCAAAGAACCATGAAAAACCGGGTGTTAGAACCAAAACTACAGGTGCTTCGGTTGTTCTGGTTTTTGCAACCACTAGTTTTTCCAACACTGCCTGTGGCGGCGCCACTGCCGTCTCTCTGCGAGTCGTCGCTTTTGAAAATGCAAAATACTTCTTTTAAGTGCGAATTCGGCCCTCTATGTTCGACTCCCTTTTTTTTACTCTTTCTGCTCAGTTTTAGTGCATTTCTCTGCTTACAAATTGGACACGACTCTACTTACTTTTTTTGGATTATATTTGAATGTTCGACCCCCCCCCCACCTATTAAACGTTGAAATGTACCATACGAATGCTGGGGTCATCCTTCCTACGCCCAACGTATTCGCTCGATCCGACCCAAGAAAAAGTTCATCAACAGAACAACTGCAAATGTTCAACTTTGTTTCAAGAGTGTGTTCTCTAATTGTGATCAAAGTCATGTCGAAACGAAAACTATCATCTGGACTGCGTACTCGAATGCCAAAGTCACGATAGTATCACCTGTCATTAGAGCCGCAACGACGAGTTGCGTCTGAAATCATTAAACACTTATTAGTATCCAAACGTGTCCCAACGACCAACATATATCAGCAATACGTACCTCTTGGTTCGGCATTGCCACCAACTCCAGCATAGCGTTGATAGGCGTGAAAATCTCTGAAATAACTGCTGCTAGCACAGCGTAATTGAAAAGCGCGCTGCGACAAAAGAGCTTATTCTCCCAGAATCCTTCCATGAACGGTTGTCCCCGATAGTTGGCCACAAAGGTGTTCACTTGCATGATCGACGACATGAGGAACATGATGCTGTTGACCACATTCGGGGTGAAATTTCCATCCGGGTGCATCGCTGGGTCTCCAGGCTCGATGAAAGGTTGGGCCACGTGAAGAGCAGCCGCCAGAAAAGCCAAGTGAATGACAAATTGACCAAAGATCGACACCATCACAGACATGCAGAACACGCCGGACGGTGGACGCTGGTGTGAGAGCTTACGCGCGGGTTTTGCCCGTGATAGGAACAAAAAGAACATGGCGATCGACAGCTGCAAACGGTGTTGAAGACTTCGTTAGTGCTGGTTGTAGCTCAGTAAGATAATATACGCAAACGTACCCCCGATATTGTGAGTTGTTGATCACCGTTCTTCACTCCATGAATGAAGAGAGAGCTCAAATAGTACGCTGTGATAAGACAGTTGATTCCCAAGATCTTGTACATCTGGATGGTAGTGACCAGAGTGCATCGTCCCTGGCGGATCAGTCTCTTAATCACCCGGATACTTGAGCTCTTCGATGTGAACGGCGATGCAATAGAGGCGTCTCCCAATCGCACAATCTGCGCATCATCACTGCTAGACAATGACTGCTGCATTTCTCGCACCGACCGGTGTCCAGCTTGTCGTCGATTACGAAGGCCGCTCTGGCCTGCACTGCCAGAGCCTCTTCCAGAATCAACGACATGAGGCGTATTCTCCGAGCTAGACGAGTTCACAATCGAGATGCCGATGTGAGCTTGCTTCAAGGCACCCACATCGTTCGTACCGTCACCACACATGGCTGTTGTCTTTCCACAACGATTCATTGCCATGATCAGGTGTTCCTTCTGCTGAGGTGACGTTCGAGCAAATACGGTGGCGCAGAGACACATCTTCTCAAGCACAGCAAGGAACCCTTCCAGGACAGCCGCATTGCCGTCGCACTTGTCCTCTTGCTGCTTATAAAGCGTTGACAGAGCTTCTCCCGTCACACACAGATCATATTGCACCTGCATTTTCTCCACTTCATCGACGTTAAAAGGGATCGTTTCATCCTCGACATCAGGCGATCCATCGTCAATGGATTTCCACTCCACAGACCCTGACTCCGCATTAGGCGTCAAGACTAATGGTTGCTTGGAATACCCTGCATTGATCCCCACTTGCCGAGCTACATCGCACGCCGTGAGAGGGTTATCTCCTGTAACCATAGTAACCTTGTGTTTCGAAATCATCAGCTCCCGAATCGTTCGCTTCGTGTCATCCTTCAGTGGACAGTCAAGAACCAGAAAACCCGCAAACGTCAACTCACTTTCCAGTTCATCACGCGGTTTGCGCCGCAGTTGATCCGTAGAAAGCTCTCCAGAGAGTACACGAAAGCCCAATGCCAAGACGCGGCATCCCTTGGATGCATAATGGCGGTACACACGGCGATAATACGAAGGTTTGTTAATAAAGACGGACTCGAGTACCTCCGGTGCACCTTTCGTAAGTACACGCTGCTCGTCTTGCTCGTCATTATCAGCTTTCCGAACACACACAATGGTAGTCATGCGCTTCAGCTCAGAGGAAAAAGAAAAGCTGTGAACAATATCCACCGCCTGGATTTCACCTCGACGATCCGAGAAAAACGACGGTTGGACACTTGGAAGACCCTGCGCTCTGCCTTCGTTGCTTGTCAAGCACCAATTAATGTTCCGAACAGCAGTCATCTCAAGCGGATCTCCTGCTACCTGGCCATTCAGCAGGACCAATGACTGACATCCTGCAAGCACCAGCTCGGTGTCAAGAGGAAGTTGCTCAGGAGCGATGATATCCAGCTCACCGCCACGTTTCCCTCTGTACTTGTCAGGCTCCACGTGGGCTTCCAACCCTGCTACGCCATGTAACTTAAGCTCATCACTGGTTAGAGTTCCAGTCTTGTCGAAGCAGCAGACATCGATACGACCAGCAAAAGGGATCCGAAACGGCTCAGTACAGAAGATATTACTCTTCGTCAACGCGATCAGCGAGTTGGTCACTGCCAGTGACAGCTCCATGGGGAGCTCCGGCGGTACCACTGACGTGATAATCATAACACAGTGTAGGAATAGCTTGAATTGGTTGCGAGTCGGGTCGTTGATCCCTTGAGAAAGCACAAACGCTGCTGCAGCCACAGCAAAGTTGAGCAGTAGAACGATAAACCACATCGCCTCCGAATTGTTCGCAGTAACACGCTGCGACGAGTACAAAATAGTACGCATCAAACTTCCTTGTGTTGTGCCAAATCCCGTTTTGAGCACGAATCCAACACAGCCTCCATCAGGGGGAGAAGATACACGTAGCGAGTCCTTTGAAGACGGAGTTGAGTGCTGGAGAACCTTGGTGCCTCCATACAATACGTGGCGTTTGTGCTTCATACTAGATCCGTCGTCAATCTCGAGATTCTTGAGCTGCTCTGCATCATTCACAATCGACGCCCCTACCGCTTCCTTGCGTAATGGGACAGATTCACCGGACAGCATTGACTCGTTGACGACGCAGTTTCCACGCAGTAGCAACAGGTCGCACGGGACAACAGTGTCGCGTTCATTGTGGCCAATAGAGCAGATATCACCGGGTACCAGCTCGTCACTTGAGACCTGAGTCCACTTACTCTGTCGATAGACCAGACATGGCTGAGGAGCTCGTCGCATGTGCAGCAATGTGCTCATGTTTTGCTGGCGTTGCTTGACTACTGTGCACTCGAAGATCACGAGCATGAGCAGAGTCATTAGCGAGTAGTACATGTACTCGTCAAGACACCAGAGGAGCATGCAGAAGAACTGGAACACGAAGAATGGAGCGACCAGTTGCTCTTTCAACAGCTCATAGAACTTGGGCACGGGCAATTCGAAGTCGTTCTTCCCCCACTTGTCTTTCGCCTGTTGCAGCTCCTCCTTGGACTTGATACCTTCACTCTTCAGATAGGATTCAAGTGTGGCATTAGATGGGAAGTCTAAACGACGGAATTGGCTCTCACCGCTGCGATTGATGGTCTCCACATCCTCATATAGACAGAACTTAAGATTCTGGAACGAAAACCAGAGCGTCAGCCCCTTTGTGCCCTTCGTTTTGTCCTTGGACATGAAGTGGCACTCGCAGAGCTGCTTGGACAGCATTGTGAGCGACGGTTCCACCTTAGCGAGCATTTTGAAGCGCTCATCCTGCACCACGGTTATTAACCTAGTGCATGTCATCCAGCATCGCACGTCGACGCTCCACTCGGCGCTCAGCACCGCTAGTGCATGCCAGAAGACGCTGAAGGCTCCGAAAACCCAAGGAACAACGTCGTCTTCGGGTCGTACAGTGTACAGATACACGGCAGTGACGTAGAGGAAGGTGAATGGTAGTAGATCCAGCCGCATGGGCCATGGCAGCGACGTGTACAGCGCCACGGACGTGAGCTCCGGGTCAGCCACGCCCACCTTAACGACCATCGCGATCTAACAATCCGATTATGAGCGGTTGTGTCACACTAAGTACGAAAGGCAAGTTGCACGTGTCAAGTTGACACTGTCAAACAGCGAGAGGTTGCAATCATTTAGCGACAGTCTCAGAATGTAGAGAAAGAGGAAGGTTGTTGCTATGGATTCGTCAGATCATCGTAGTCTTAATGTTTGTGTTTCGTCAGCTCACACGAGTGCGAGGTCCGTAACCAGATAAACGATCATCATTCGATCCAGGCGGCAAAAGAACATCGCGTCTAATGGATGTGGCTAATTTCTACAGCGGGGGTGGCATATTCTTCAGTGAAAACGGTTGTCCTCATACAAGTCAGACATACGCTTGTTTGAAAAGCATCAGCAGAGCGCCTCCGACCCGGCATCAAAGCCACATACAATCCTATTCATACAGCCGCACTCACACTAGTAGTGGACAAGTGCAGCACGACTCTGAAACACGTAGCGTTGTGCAGCGAAGCCTCAGCTGGTACCCGAAAAAGTTGCAATCGACATGAATTGGTCCGTTTAGTGCAATATCGTCACTGGCTTTCGCGATCAATTGAGACAGCAATACAATAGCAATCTTGGTCTGTTCTGCGCTGAACGAGTCAAAGCTAGAATGAGCTGGTCAAAGCGGTTGTCGGCAACAGCTTGATTGTGGAACGGATGGCTGGCACGATTCACTAAATGATTGGCAGTTAATCGACGCTTAATCTAATCTTCGACCAATCTGGCGAAAGATCGGATATCCCCTAACCACTCCGATTAATAGATCGTGCAATCCAACGGAATATCTCCCTTCATTCTTCCAATCACCATCTCCTCACCCTGAATAACCTCCCAATGCACTCCTATTACTGAGACGTAGAAGAAAATCAGATAGCCGCAAAGCTCATTCCCCCTTCAAGTCCGCATCCATGGCGCTGCCTCGCGGCGACGACAGCGGCGACGCGGAGCTGCAGCAGCTCAAGCAGAAGCTGGATCCAGTGGCGTTCGGTCGCGATCTTGTGTCTCTGGACGAGCGCTTCGTGCCGCGCGGGCCGGAGACCACAGGCTTCGAGGTGGAGCCGCGGCCTAGCTCCTTCTACGGGGCTCTACCGACTCCAAGCGGCGCGGAGGAGGACGACGATGATGAAGACGACATGGAGAGTATCGAAGTGCCTGTGAACCGCTACGCCGGTGTCATATACGCCGCTCGCTTCTTCGTCACTCGCGTGGGTTTCCTACGCTCAGCCAAGAGGCTCTTGGTGCTCAGTAGCAATCACTTGACTATTGTAGACCCATACTCAGACGAAGTGAAGGAACGCTATGCCTTCGACAACATCAAGGAGATCACTATCGCCTCAGACAGCGGCGGACACAACGCCGACCGCGCCTTCACCATTTTTATCGGTAAAAACCTCAAGGAAACATACACATGCAGATGCAGACAGCAGCTGCTGTCGGCCTATTACCAACTGAGAGAACGCGCTTCTTCCTTCAGAAAGGACGAGATTGAAGCTGCTACTGCCGATGCTCTGAGTGCAGTGGGGGCTAGTGTAGGCACCAGCGACAATAGCTGGGCCACAGGCTCGGGAGGACCAGGAGGCAGCAACTCCAACTTGCTCGGCAGCGGCATGTATTTTGACAGTTTGTTTCAACTCTGTGGAAAGACTTTTACCATGACGAAACTCAGTACAACACGAAGTATCGCCATTCACCCAGTTAAAGTGGAGGTGCTGCTCGCTGTACGTGCCGCGAGCTTGGACAGACTGGACCCGCAGACACGCGCCACTTTGTCGTCGATTTTACTAATTGATATCGTCAAGATCCAGCGTGTGAACACCAACTCGAACGAACTGGTGCTCTACTTCGAGAACAACAGGGTGCATCGGTACTGGTGTGACAGTCGAGAGCCGTTTATCCAGGCAATAGCTAACAATTTACGGTCGTGGCTTAGTGTATCATTATTCGTAGAGGAAGTTTCAGATTCGTGCGAGTTCGACGCGTTAACGTCGACGCGAGATATCCCACAACCTGTTACGTTCGAGATGCCAGTGTTGAAGATCAGCAAGAACAAGTCGGACAAGTTGCAGCTACGTCTGCTGGGTCTCACGGCTCTGGCGATCATCGAACGAGACCCTGTGACGCGGAAAACCTTGGCAAGCCACTCTCTAAATGACATCTTTAACGTGGTGATGTACCCATCAGTGTCTTCTTCTCAAGATGATCCTGATAGCGCGACTTCAGAGGGTTTGAGCGGCAAGTTCGCGTTGGAATTGAAGCACGGACTGACGCGACGATACATCTGTCTAAGCTCGACTGTGAGTAGACGTGACAAGGAAGTGAGTCTTGGACTGAGTCGAGTGTCATCGCAGCATGAAAAGGAGCTTCGCCAACTTATCGGAGATATCGCTGGAGATATTGACGTTCCTGAATGGCTGAATGTTGCTGGATCTACGTCGCTGCTGAGTCCGAAGGAAGCTCGAAGTCTGTTCCTGAGCAACATGATCGAGATGTGCCGCATGAACAAGCTGCATGTGCCGTGGTCAACGGAGGAGACGAAGATTGCGTGCAAGGAAGGAACGTGGGGCACTGAGGTTCACCCTGAGTGGGAAGACATCCTGTTACGCAAGCTGGTCAACCTGAACTTCATTCCAAATCTCGTGACGAACGAGAGTATGTCCCTCATCTACCACCAACTGGTCCAGTTTAACCGCAACATTCCGTTGGGAGGTCTGCGTCAGCGTGATCGCCGTGCTTTTGCGAGTCTGATGAAGGTGCTAGAGAACTTCAAGGAGTATTCTGTGGCTCAGCTCAACAGCCCTTCCAACACTGACGCGCCCATCCCGACAACGGAGTTTCAAGTGGAGCTTTTGTTGGCAATCCAGCGTCTGCTTTGTACTCGTGGAGTCTTTGAAGAAATTCCGAGCTCGCAGTACAAGAACAGTATCGAGGTAATCATGGAGTTGCTTCATTCTCCCATGGAGGAGGTGAGCTTTGCAGCGGCGTGCGTGGTCAAGTACATGGTGGTCAACTACTCGGATACTCGCAGCTTGAAGTCCGAAACGGCCAATCGTCGAGCAATATTTACCAAATATCACAGCAGGATGTATGTATCTCGTGCATTCGATCTATCGAGGACCAATCGGGTGGGTCGTGTACCGTTGCATTCCACCTCTTCGGCTAAGACAGGGTCGAATCATGGATTCCCATCAGTGGCAGCAATGTCCAATACCGAACGCAGTATGGCGAATGCACTGGCATATTCTCAGCTGGGCTTGGACTACCTTGTACTCGTCATGATTCTGCAGACGCTCGAGGTTTGCTTGTCCAGTGGGAAGAAGGCAACCCCGGAGAGAGTGGCAAGGGATTTGCTTCGAGCTATGAGAGTGGATGATTTCTCTCGTCATCATGCTCTGTTCTTGTTCAACCGGTCGCTGAGTTTTTCGATTACAAAATGTTCGTCAATTCTGGTAAAGGTGCACATTTTGGAGCAACCTACCGAGCTTGTCGAGCTGATTCAAGACTTCTCGAGGAAACACGGTGCTCTAGTATGGCAGCTTTACCTGGCGCTGTATACGCAAGACAAGGCTCAACGTCGAATCTCGTCCCAGTTGGTGGCTCTACTCACTCATGAAAACCCGCGCTCATCGTATGTTGTCCGGAATATCTTCCCACATGCGTTGCTGGACGACCAGAAGGCCAACAAACTGGAGTATGACGAGTTTGGGAGGCATCTACCGACTGCAAACCCCGAGCTGTACGCTAAAAGCAACGGTAATGCGCACAAGAATGGGAATCGCCGTGACATTACCAATGCTACAGAAAGTGGACGCAGCAAACTGAGCTACGGGATCAATACACGCGCTCGATTGGCGCGAAACGTGAAGCACGCTGTGCTGTTGCCCGAATTCTTTGACCGACTGGGTAAAACCTACGCGACTAAGGACCTTGTATGGGGACCTAGCGCTGTGGAAGAGCTGATTCGTAAACTTCAGGCCGAGATGAGCGAACTGGACATGTATCGACTGAAGTATCTAGGGTATCTCTACACGGACCCGCTTGCAACTGACCATACCGAGACCGAATGGGACGCGTACCAAGCAAACAGGCTTCGTCACGACTCACAGCATGCAAACTTCGCCCCGTTTCTCTTCGAGTTCTTGCAACATGGTTCCGAAAGTCGACTTGCGATCGAAATGATGAAGGGAACGATCTCTTCATCGAATCGATTCGCCAGGTTTATGCCTCTGTCGTTCCTGCTAAATCCCGACACGTCTGAAGATCTCGAGAGTGATGGTGGACTAGACGACGACAACTACGACAGTGATGACAACTACACTGACGAGAACGGGTTTGTTTCTCGCTCCAACAGTATCATTCGTCCTGGGGATAGCTCCGATACCAAAACGGGCGATCATGATGCCTCTCATGAAGATTTTCGCAGCGCTGCCTTGGCAAAGAAGAAGAAGAAGAGCGCCAAAAATATGCCTCGGTGGTTTGTGGCGTGGAATTGCAATGAATTCCGTGTCGACTACGAGTGTCTGGAGAACGAGGTGAAGGTTGGTCCGTATTATCTCGCAAACATTTTGGACGATCGTGGTGTGTTGGTGGAAGACATTGAAGGTGCGGAGAAGTTCATGACGCTTCTGTATTACCGTCTGCTGGCTGAGGACCGCAGTTTATCGGCATCGAAACTTCAGAACGGAGAGCGTTATTCATCAGCGGATTCACTTGGCGATGTTGACCAGTCTGACATTCGCTTGTTGGTATTGAAGGTCATGATTCAGCTGTACGAACGTCATTTCAACGAGTTGGGGTCACTGGTGTTCCTGAACCACTTTCTACGAGTGAGCATGATGATTAGCAAAGATGGCGAGGACCGACGGTGGCCACTGATTGTGCGTGGCAACATCATGTTGTTCCTGGATCGGGTTTTATCGAGCGCGTTGAATGTGTCGCGCTTCTTACGTGAAGTAGACAACGTGACAATGGTGTTGGATTTGCTGCGTGAAGTGAAGCCGCTGGTCGTTCTTCAAGGCCCAAATGACTCAGAGAAGGAGTATATCGTCGAGCCTGCAGCGGACGTTCAAGCCGAGTTAGATGCATCGGAAGAAGAGAACGATGATGTTCACGATGCGGACGAAGATGAATATGGTGATGATAGGGGCGACTACGATGACGACGACGAGGACTATGATAGCGAGAGGGACATGGCACGGAGAACGATTGATGCTCTGGAAGAGTCTGGTGCTGAGAGCTCCATTATTTCGAGTCACTCCGTCTCGCCCACGTACGCACATCGTGACGATGAGAGTGTGCATGAGGAGGAGCCTAGTCGCGTGACCGTCGTAGCCGAACATTGCGGTGCAATGAGTGGTTCGATGATTATGCAGACGTGCTTGAGCGTGCTTAGTCGTCTCATTGATTGCCACACCGCAGAAGAAGAAGGACATATGTACCAGGACATTCGTTTCCCGAAATATGGACGACTTACGCACTTCGAAGGCTCGGGTGTGAGTCCGATCAGCTCCATCAAGCGTCGGCTGTGCGAAGATCAGACTCTCCGGTTCTTGGTGGGACTTCTGGACTGTCCGAATCGCATTGTGTTCAAGAAGTGTCTCGGCTTGATTCGACTTCTCGTTCGACACAACGAGGCCATCATCCCGAATCTACATGCTTCAGGCATCTTTTATTACTTGCTCCGTTTCTCTCAGGACGTGGACGAGATGTCGATTGCAGCGCGTCTAATCTCTCACATCCATCTGCGGCAATCAGGACTCGACGTTCCGCATCTGATTGATGACAAGCAAAAGGGAGAGAACAAGAAAGGAGTCTTTTCTCCTGATCCGTTGACACGAATATGCTTGAGAAGTTGGCTGGTGCGTGTGCTGCCAGTGTCGATGGTGGCTCAGCTGCTGCGTCATGGACCGCGACGATTTGCTACCGCTCTGTTCTCAGACGCGAATAACCCGGAAGTGGTGTGGAATGCGAACATGCGCAGCCAAATGGTGTCGTACATTGAGAAGTTCATGGAGCTTCATACCGATGACAACGGCATGTTCTATATTTCAGAAAACGAGGGCTCGGAGCACAAGGCTTGCATCGCATTGATCCAGTACCCGAAGGAAGTTCACGCACTGCAGTGCTACCAGTATTACCTGCACAACCTTCTTGACGAGAAGAACTTCCCCGGATGGCCAATCAATGACGAAACTGCATTCTTACGGGCTTTACTGGACTCGATTCGTCGCTGGGTACACCCTGGATTACTGCTAACTGCCCGCGGGGCTCAAGCGACTGAAGGCCAATCCACGAAACTTCTCTCCGTGTCTGATGCTGTTGAGTTGCTTGATGCCACAGCGCTGCTTCTACGTCGTTTTCCGGACTCTCCGACCATCACGAACCTGCCGAACTTTTCGTACTTCTTGGAGGCTTTGGAACGGTGTATTACGGAGCTGAAAGACAACCGGGTTGGCCCGACAAAGACGTTCTTCGACGTGTCCAACGCCATTGCGACAAAGACTGCGTTCGTGAGAGCATTTGGAAGTGCCATTCGTGTGATCAATCTGGCTGTCAGTATTTCAGACGAGAATGCGCACCAGTGCAGCTCTGGTCTGGGACTTCGCGTGCTTTGCAACTCTCTCCAGTTGCTTTTCCACAACCAGGAAGCTCTGAGTACTATCGATGGGTGTACACCAAACGTGATGACACACTGGGTGTTAGAAGCCCTCGTGAACGTTCTGAATCAGCCCAATGGACGCGTATCGGCAGCTGCGCAGTCTATTGATTTATTGCCGTGTTTAACTCGTTTCCTGTCGCAAAAAGGGGACCGGTTGGCGACGGACTTGTCCCTCCAGATTGTGTACGAAATGGCCGGAAGTTCTGGAGAAATGGCAGAAGTTTTGTTGCTGCAGCTGGCCGAGCATGGCATCCTGTGGTATTTGACGCTTCTATTGTTCCACTATCAGCCAAACAATGATGACGGTGATGGAGATATGCAGCGGATCAGCATCGGCGCAGCAAAAGCGCTGGGTCGGATCCTGGAAGCCAACGCGAGGGAGGAGTCGATTGCTGTATTTGTCAGGCGGATGCAGGCTACAATCGAACAAGTCTTTACACGTCCACTAGTAGACATCCTACGACGAGCAGGACCGATTAAAATGTTGGACGTATTGGCAACTGAAGTTCGTGAGCCGCATGTTATGTGGACCGAACGCATGCGGAAGGAGTTGATCAGTCTCGCTCAGCGTGCAATTCATTTCCATACAACGCTGGACCAAAGCGACGAGGAAATGCACAAGGTGTTTGAACTACCACCCTACTTCATGTACACAGCACAAAAGGAGGAGTTGTGTGTGGCGGGGATCTATGTGAACTTCTTCAACGAGAACCCGAAGGACGGAATTCTCGCTCAGATCGCTGGAACTGTGAATAGTGGAAGTCGTGTGGATATGTTCAAGGCAAAGCCGACCACGAAGAAAGAGATCCAAGCTGCTGCTGCTGCCGCGGCAGAGCTGGAGAATCGTACAGTTAGTGGCCATGTGATGCATGGTCTGCTGGCAGCGCTATCATACGACATCTCGAGCGTCCGTGCACAGCCTCAGTCACTGGAGAGCGTGTTGCTTCAACGTTTGCTACCTATCGCTACGGCTATCAGGAATTTACTACAGTACACACCGGATATGGACGTGCAAGTGGTGCAGGCAGATGGGTTGCTAACACTGTTATTCGTGCTGGACCACGAGACTCAACCTCAAGGGTTCTCCTTCGCGAATGCCCCGCTATTGCTGCTTCGTTGCATGGAGTGTGTGCACATGCTTTCGTTCAGTGGCAAATGCGTGGATCCTCTGGCGACTGTGGTCCCTCCGTTTATCAAGAGTGCGTTCCAGGTCGTCTACAAGAATCTCGCTCGAACGGAAGCTTCGACTGAAGGTCAACTGGCTCGAGTGACGTTGCAGTTGTTGGGTAATCTGTGCCTTATTCCTGCTTGTATCGACAACCTAGTAAAGGGAATGGATCCTGCGAGTCTGTCGAACCTGTTACCGCACGTGTGGCTGGGCGACTCGACTGAGATGCAATTGCTGCTCTGTCTGCACATGATTCCTCTCAAGCGACACACACAGGCAGCCACGGAATTCGCCAAGGCTGCGGTGAGCTCGCAACTTGCGGCGGCACTGCTCAACTTGCTGTCCACACTGGTACCGAAGTCCAAGATAGGCGAGAGTAACACGACCAAACAGTACGCGGCGCGGTTCCTGTCTGTGTTGTCATCCAATCCAGGCAGCGGCGGCGCTATTTCGAGTTTACTCATCGCGTCTCGAGTCTGGGAGACTCATGGAGACACCACTCAAGCCACATCGGAAGACCTTCGCCGATTGCTTGTACCTCCACACGCCCCTGCATTGCTAAAGGCGCCCCACGCTAATCCTAACAAGGTTGGTTAGAGTTTGATTAGAGCGTCGAGATTAAAACATTTGTAGCAAGACACCCTAACGTAATAAATCCACGCATTTTGATTGTCAAATCTGGCCTTTATCTACTTCGATTTCTCTCCAACCTCTGCGTCAAACAGTTCCAGAATCTCATTCTGGATCTCCACTGCCTTATCCTCGTTTCCACTCGAGCGGTAGGCCTCGGCAAGGTTATGACGTGCCATGATCGTTTCGTTATGTGCCGAGCCGAGCACCTGCTTCCGCACATTCAGCACGTCTTCATACAGTTTGATAGCCTCGCCGTACTCTCTCGCCTCCTTCTTTGCATATGCGAGGTTGTTCTTCGCCAAAGCCGTAAGTGAGCTATTGGGCCCCACCTTCTTCTCTAGCAGATCCACCGCCTCAACGAGCGCAGCGAAAGCTTTTTCCGACTGTTTGTTTTGCCAGTGGATGACGCCCATGTTGCTCATACTAAGCGCGATGTCGGGATGTCCTGGCTCGAGGATATTGCGGCGGATCTTGAGTGATTCCTCGAAGCACTCGAGTGCACGATGTAGTGCACTCACACGCTCCATACCAGAACTAGAGATTGCAAGGGCGCGGTACACAAGGCCGAGGTTGTACAGCGTTGTGGCGAAGGACGCGTGCTGCTCGCCCACACTGGCCTTGTACGTCTGTAGCGCGAACTCGTAGGCCTCTACGGCCTCCTCCATCTGGCCTAGATTCTTGTACATGAGGGCGATGTTGGTGACTGTGCTGGCATACACCGGGTGGTTCTCTCCGAAGTGCGATTTGACCAGGTCTCGGCACTGGAGACCGGCGTCCAGTGCGGCTTGGTAGTCTCCAGAGCTGTAAGTCATAACTCGCGTTAGAAACGTCGATTGTCAGTGGTTTAAAGATTCAGCAGCAGTGTTTGCACTATTGGTTTAGCATTCAATAGCACGTACTTGTAAGCGTCACGGATCTCGCGCTGCATGACGGCGATGTCCTGCTCAACCTGCACGTAGCTGGTCTGTGGCTTGTTGTGCAACACCTGCACCGTGCGCTTAGGCGGGTCCGAAGCGGTTGAGCTCCAGCGTGTAACCAGAGCATTAGTAGTAGATCGCAAGGCGGTGGATGGCGCCCGACGCAGCACTGCGGAGGCTGCCAATAGGACACGACGCTGCATCATCATCAGGAATTCGGTGGTGTGGTCTCTGTTGAGCGAACAAGTGTTGGCCGCAGGCTGCAATTGGTTGATTGTGAACTCGTATAAGGCAATTCTTTTGGATTCTTTATAGATGGATACATTTTACATGGTTGGGGAAATTTATTTAACCCATACCAAAATATGGGTTTTTAAAAAGTATTCACCCACAAATGGATGGATACTCCTGAATTTATGTTAGCAACATAAAATTGAATTGGCCGCAGGTTGCGTCCTGGATTTATGTTAGAAACTCACCATTTTGTGCTTCAATCTACCACAACCTATTAGATTTGTAGGTTGACCTGGATATTCATGTAGGATGTAAACTTAAACAAGTTCAAATCGTGTTGATGGGTACTTAACCAGTTTTGAACATACTCGTGTCTACTTATACGAGTTCACATCGACTGGTTAAGAAAAGCACTTTTCAAAAACAAAACACTTGTTCTAAACAAACAAACTCGATGACGAGGAGATGAATGATAGTTTGGTGGATAGATACTTCATTCGGTCGAGTGCCGGCGTAAGCTCTCTCGTCGAGTGAATCGGAAGAAGCCAAGGGCCAAGTTACATCATTCTCAAGAGACCTGCATCGAAATGGCATTCACGTTTGTACCGAAAGCGAAAGCCATTCAGTTGTGAATGTGTGTTTGTTCGTTTCCGAACATACATTCACAACTGACTGGCTATGCAAGATCCAACATCGTGCGTGCGGTGCAGCAAGCATACCGGTGCTTACCACGAATCGGTCTCTTCGCCGATGACTTGACTTCAACCACACAACTTGGTGCGTCGTTAAACCGGGCGGTGCCATCCAGTCATTCGCTGCAGTCAAACCCTGGCACAACCACTTCGCATTCAGAGCTGAATCGCGATGTTTTCTCCGTCGGGACCACGCACCCCGGAAATCTACTTTTCGTCATATTCCGATCATGTCCAAGCTCCACTCGAGAACCAAGGCAACGTACAGAGTGCCGAAAGTGAAGCACGCGAAGAGACGTTGGCTTGCTGGTTGTTTGCATTGGTGGGCATCGGCTTCCTCTTCCCGTTTTCGGCTCTAACGCAGCCCGTCGATTACTGGAAAATGCTGTTTCCGGAATACAACATCGAGTTCGCCATCACCTCCGTCTTCATGTACACTAGTCTGGCGTTCCTGACACTACTAGTTGTGTTTCTCGGAAAACCTCAGTACACAGCTCGCATTGTCAGTGGCTTCGTCGGTCAGTTGACGGTGCTTGTTTTCGTGCCTACGTCCTACTATTTTCTGGCATCCAGCTCAATCGCTGTACTCGGAGCTACGGCGGTGGCTGCGATTGCCACGGCTTTTATTGACAGCTGCGCCATTGCACTCGTGTCGCATTATCCTCAGAGAGTTCAAGAGAGCTTCCAGCTAGGCATCGGATTGAGTGCCCTTATCGGCAGTATTTATCGTGACTTGACCAAGCTTGTTTTTCCAACGGATCAACTACTGGCATCATCGCTAATCTACTTTTACTCGGGAGCGCTCACTATTGCGCTTTGTATCGGTGCATATTACAAGGCAATGAGGCTTCAGATCACGAAAAAGTATCTATTCACAGAAGGAGGCAACCACGAGCTTGACGAAAAGCGCGAATCTATTGATGTTGTTGGTCCTACTCCGACCAAGTGGTCCGTTTTGAAGAAGGTGTGGCATTTGGAGATTCTCATCCTGTGCGTGTATTTGGCGAGTTTGTCGGTCTGGCCACCGCTCGTCACGGAGATCAAGACTTACAACTTCCCGTCGCTCCAGGAGAGTGGCTGGTGGTCTCTTATCCTGCTTACGGTTTTCTCGACTTTCGACTGTGTGGGTCGATTCGTCGTCAACCACCGCTTCGGCCTCAAACCCAGCAATGTCTGGATGCCGATCATCGCACGATTCATATTCGTGCCGATCATTATCGGCATTGTCAAAGAATGGTGGCTCCAGAACGACATTTGCTCAGTGCTGTGCGTGCTACTTCTCGGATTTGGTAACGGCTATTTGGGTGCTTTGACCATCATCTTTGTGAGTGAAAGCGTGCAACCCGACGAACAACACATTATTGGCCCCATTACCAGCTTCTTCCTTAATCTAGGACTCGTGTTGGGCTCCACCGTCGGTCTCGTCCTGGACTCCGTCCTGCTAGACTAGCTAAATACATTTTTCGCAATCTAAAATTTGAAAGACATCCTAAATAACTGCAATAATTCATGAAATATACCATATCATTCTTTTCATTAGTCTCCATAGTAATCATTCGACAATCCTATTCATTCGACAATCAGCCTTAACATGTTCGTGAGGCTAGGACGTCCTCTGCGTGCCGCAGCCTTTAAGCCGGCCAATGCGCGGCGCTTCTCCAAGGCCGCACCGGAGCCGCGTCCCACCGTGCGCCCCACTAAGCAGATGGTGGTCACAGAGCTCAAGGAGGTTGGCAAGCTCATGTTTGGGGGCCTTGCAGTAACCTCAGCGCTCATCGCTTCAGGTGGCTTCGTTATCGAGACGGTGAAGACGATGAACCCAATGACTCCTCCAGGCTTCATGCTACAAGTCTCAGGACCCGACGGAGAGTCCACGGACGTCCACGTGCAGCGTCTTGGCAGCGGAGACGTGACCGTTCTATTCGATGGCGGCGTGGGGGAGACCTCCTTCGATTGGGACAAAGTGGCAGTGGATGTGGCCAAGTTCGCCACTGTCATTAGCGTCGACCGTCCTGGACTGGGCTTCTCCAAGCCTGGAGCACAGCCTAGAACATCCAGTCAGATCGCTAGTGAGTACAAGCAGATCCTAGAGAAGCTTAACGTTAACGGGAAGATGGTGCTGGTGGGTCATGGAGCGGGAGGCTACAATATGAGGGAGTTGGCTCAAGAGTTAAAGGTGGCTGGAAACGGACCTGAGTGTCAAGGACTGGTCCTTGTCGACGCGTTGCAGGAAAACCTTCGCGAAGAACTGGAGAGCGTCTCGGAGGTGGTACATAAGTCATTGGAAGAGATGGACAGCAACGGTGAGATGGTGTTGCGTCTCTCGCGGCTCGGTCTTATCCGACTGATCAACGTCGTACAGCACTCCAAGATGGCGGACAAATATTCTCCCGTTGCGTTGCCCTTTGTGCAGTACTTTTCTCCCTCTCCGGCGCATCGAGAAGGAGCACTGCGCGAGAACCAGGCTATTCACGAGACTGAGAAGCGCTTCCGAGGTTCTGGCTCGACGCTGTTTGGTTTCCCGTGTGTTGTGCTATCGCACGGTAAAGCGGGTATGTTCGACACTATGAAGATGCAGGCGGGGGTGACTCCCAAGACGCTGGCGGACTTGGAGCGCAAGTGGCTGGACGCACAGACCAAACTGGCCAATACGGTCAGCAAGCGTAGCGTACATCTTGTGATTAACGATGCTGGCCACTGCATTCATCATGAGAAACCGGAAGAAGTCACGAAGGCTGTTCGTGCTTTAGTTGATGAGATCCACGGTAACGTTCACGAGAATCGCGGTCTGATGTCGCTTACGAAACGCGAATGACGTTGTCGCTGCAAGTAGTACAGCATTCTGGAAAGAAATGCACCAAATAGAAACGGATGTTTTCAAACTACCCGACGTTTATGTCAGCATTTGATTGACGATCCACGGTTTAACTTTATGTGCGAACAAGCTCAATCCTCGAAAGCCTGCCGTCGATTTCCTTTTGTGCTGATGCTCAACTGCATCGTAGCGCTGTTCATGTTGACTGAAGCGGGCTACTAGTATGTGGATTTGTTCCAGGATGCTGACTGCAAGGGCAGTTGTGCTAGAGTCAAAGATGTCGTAGCGGTGACAGTTTGGGCGATTCCATCAGGCGTGATCATTTTATACGTGGCGATATTTTTTTTTTCAAAGATGGAGACGCAACTATAGTTTATTTTACACGGAACTCAATTGTTTAGGTAACAACGAACCGTGGTTGTATTGGCGACGGCATCGCGTAGTTTATTCCATCCAGTCTGAAGGTTTAGAAAGTAGAGAGTATCCTTACTCTGGAGGGGTTGCTGGCGTCTGGAGAGTTTGCGATTCACCCGACAGCACCCCTCGTCACAAACGAACGAGCGCCACGTACGTCTAGGAGTGAACTGGAAATTCCACACATTTTAGAAGTAATGCGTAAGGAATACTGCTCACATCCCGTTGCCACATTTACCCCTCATATTTAGGATGACTGTCAGGTTTCCGAGAAGATATGACGGTATAATGCTGAGCGACATACTGTATTCACTTGCATTTTCATTTTTTCTTCGTGTTCATTACCGGGGACTGAAACCACATTGTGATGACGGACACACTCAAGCTGATGAGCATTACGGTGGCTGTCACGACGATAGTGCTCGCTACTTTGGCCGAAGCAGGATACGTAGCACTCTACAAGGACACTTACTTCAAAGACAAACTCGTGACAGTCGACGCTGTGGTTGTCGATGTCTGCTACACTTTCAAATGCGACAATGGGAATGGGAAAAGTGTCGACAACATGATCTCATCTGCTAAGTGGCATGGCCTGCCCGAAGAGAGCAAGATCTTTGCGCGTGGTCAGTCCGTTATAACGTTTTACACCGACCAAAACTGTAAGGGCGACGCCAAATCGTGGTATGTGACTACGCAGAGCAAGAGCAACATGCACTTCCCTGAGAATTTCCGACTCGACGGGATCAACGATGAAATTTCTTCTTTCAAGGTGATCAGTGCTGGGGGAGATTCAGGACCGTTTAGGGTGTGTGGACCGTCCGAGAAAACTAACCTAGCGAATACAAGCAGCGCGACGACGTAATCTATTTGTCGCTAGAAGTGTAGGTTTGGTACAAGAAAAAAATTCCTTTCGTTCCTGTTTACACGATTGGCAAGGAAATCTGTATTATGCATTAGATACTGAGGTCATCTTTTTTTAAAATTCGTGTGTTGCAGGCATCACTGCCATTATTGTGGTTGCTGTGCTGTCGGGTGACAGTTGCTCAAGTTGGCTGTGCGAACCCTTTATCAAGACGCGTACTTCAAATACGAACTCGCGAGGGTAAACGATGTGGTTATGGTTTCGCTTGCGATAATCTGGACAACGTCATCACTTCCACAAAATGGCACGGTACTCCACAACTGGTAGCACTTTTAATGAAGCAGACGCCCTGATAACGTTCAACACTGGCACAAACTGTGGCGGAAAGGACAATTGCTGGTATTAACCCGCAGGGTAGGACGAACAAGTATGTTTCCAGAAAACTTTCGACTGGATGGAACAAAGACGATATCGCGTCTTTTATTGTGCTAAAACCAAGCGGAAAACGCGGGATGGTTATATTTATGCTCTCTACCTGAGAGTGGTGAAGCTGCGAACACAACGACCAGTAGAGGTGGCAATTGAGTGCACATGAACGACCAACCCGTTTATCAGATTAACAACTTATAGAGTCGACATGATTTATCCGAACTAAGAGCCCCCGCAAAAGGAATAGTGTGGTCACTCGAACTGGAAGTCAGAGACGAGTAGTGAGAGTGGCTTACTATTGAACTGTGACCGCATTCGATCGAACAACGCGAGGAGGTGAAGACATTTAGTTCGCACAGTCACTTTCACTTTTACTTCCATCTGCAGCGACCAAAAATGTCGACGCACTCCACAGCAATGCTGCTGATCACCATTGGCATGAAGGTAGCTGCGCTAGCCGAAGGTAGTGGCTATGTGGATCTCTACCGAGATGCATACTTCAAGCACAAGATCGTCACCGTCAGGAACGTGCAAACCGACACGTGCTACAATTTGGCATGTCCCGCTAGCGACAATGTGGTCACGTCCGCAAAATGGAGTGGTCTCCCCGAATCGGGTGTCGCGTTCAAGAGCGGATCGGCCCTTATCGCGTTTTACACCGATCGATACTGTTCGGCATACCGCAATATATGGCCACTTAACACGCAAAGTCGAGACGATTTGTATTTTCCTGAGAACTTTCGCTTGGACGGGATCAACGATGCCATCTCTTCATTTTTGGTGTTTGACGAGGCGAAAATGAAAGGACACGAGGACGTCTGCAATGAAGCGGGACTCCTCGACAATTCAACCGCTCTAGGCTACGATAATGGTAGCGAAGGAAGCAGCACCGTGACCAACAGCACAGTTGAGTAACTCAAAGTCAAGAAAATCGAAGTGTAATGATTATCTAGGGATTCACCACTTCCAAAACCACAATTCAATGAATGAATATTGGATGACTTGGAAACGTTGCATGAACATGCTCAATCTTCGAAATCCAGTCGTCGATCCCCTTCATTGTAAACACGAGCTATTCGACATGCAGACAACAACTAGCAGGACCGTTTGCCCTTCATATTTAGGATGACTGTCAGGTTCCGGGAAAATATGACGGTATAATGCTGAGCGACATACTGCATTCACTTGCATTTTCATTTTTTCTTCGTGTTCATTACCGGGGACTGAAACCACATTGTGATGACGGACACACTCAAGCTGATGAGCATTACGGTGGCTGTCACGACGATAGTGCTCGCTACTTTGGCCGAAGCAGGATACGTAGCACTCTACAAGGACACTTACTTCAAAGACAAACTCGTGACAGTCGACGCTGTGGTTGTCGATGTCTGCTACACTTTCAAATGCGACAATGGGAATGGGGAAAGTGTCGACAACATGATCTCATCTGCTAAGTGGCATGGCCTGCCCGAAGAGAGCAAGATCTTTGCGCGTGGTCAGTCCGTTATAACGTTTTACACCGACCAAAACTGTAAGGGCGACGCCAAATCGTGGTATGTGACTACGCAGAGCAAGAGCAACATGCACTTCCCTGAGAATTTCCGACTCGACGGGATCAACGATGAAATTTCTTCTTTCAAGGTGATCAGTGCTGGGGGAGATTCAGGACCGTTTAGGGTGTGTGGACCGTCCGAGAAAATTAATCTAGCGAATACAAGCAGCGCCGACGACAGCCGCTAATTGAATGTTACGCAGTAGTCTTTCAGAAAATAAATTAAATACTGGTAGTTCGACTATTTGCATCTGAACTTCGGATCATCAACGAACATATTCCTTCGCCCCTGGTTTGCACTAACATTATCGTAAATCCATTGATTATTACCCAAGGAAATACACACGATCAACTAGAGTACTGAACTCATCCACAGCTATGTTGACCTCTATCGAGACGCGCCTTCCAACACAAACTCGCGAGGATAAACGACATGGTCCTGATATCTGCTGTAGTTTTACTTGCGATAACGCCATCACTTCCTCGAAGTGGCACGGTCTTCCAGAAACTGGAAGCATCTTTAAGGAAGCAGACGACTTGATGATGCTCAACACTGGCGCAAACTGTGGTTTCAAGGACAATTACTGATATTCTCTAACAGAGAACTTTAGTTTCGGAACATCGCTGCCTTTGGAACAACGACAATCTGGATAAAATCGGAGTAAGTGACGGATAGATTACCGATGGATGTTCCAATTCTAATTTCTAGTGGAACAACGCGGCCTTCGTTGTTCCACTGGAATATATTTTTGGACCAAAGGGAAATGACTCTTTTTCTGAGAATTCTTGCTCCAGGCTATAGTTCTCTATTAACACGCAGAGCAGGAAGAACAACTCCCTAAAAATTATCGACTGGACACGATATTTCGTCTTTTGTGGTGCTTAACCAAGGGTAAAACGCGGGCTCGATTTTTAGATTTTCTCTCTACTTGAGAGTGGTAAAGCTACGAACGTAACGAGTAGTGAACATAGCAATTACATATTTTAATCTTTGTTTTCTCGGAATTAGATGCACCTATTTGTACCACGCATTCCAGAAAAATAACGTGGCGAAGACTTGATTTATCCGAACTAAGAGCCTCCGCAAAACGGATAGCGTGGCCACTCGAAGTGAAAGACAGAGATGAGTGGGACTGCCACTGAGGTGACGACTTAATATACAATCGAAGTTCGATCGTATATATTAAATCGACAGTGGCCGCATTCGATCGAACAACACGAGGAGGTGAAGACATTTAGTTCGCACAGTCATTTTCACTTTTACTTCCATCTGCAGCGACCAAAAATGTCGACGCACTCCACAACAATGCTGCTGATCACCATTGGCATGATAATAGCTGCGCTAGCCGAAGCGACTGGTCACGTGGATCTCTATCAAGATGCATACTTCAAGCACAAGATCGTCACCGTCAGGAACGTGCAAACCGACACGTGCTACAATTTGGCATGTCCCGCTAGCGACAATGTGGCCACGTCTGCAAAATGGAGTGGTCTCCCCGAATCGAATGGGGCGTTCAAGGGCAGATCGGCCTTGATCATGTTCTACACCGAACGAGACTGCTCCTCGGACTACACAGCATGGCCAGTCAACACGCAAAGTCGAGACGATTTGTACTTCCCTGAGAACTTTTGCTTGGACGGGATCAACGATGCCATCTCTTCGTTTCTCGTGGCAAGTGAGGCCATACTTAAAGGATACAAGAAAGTATGCAACGAAGCGGGAGCTCTCGACAATTCAACCGCTCTAGACTACGATACTGGTAGCGAAGGAAGTAGCACGGTGACCAATAGTACAGTTGAGTATCCGTAAAGACCCCCCCCCCCCCAGTTTCCTGAACGCACAATGGTCGACCATGGTTTTCGTTACTGCTCACTCTCGCAACTATTTTTGATTACTTTGTATTAACATATTGTGCTTTGCATCAACTTTGGCTTATGAATAGCGCCTCTAAATACTTGTTTGGTTCCGTAAGTCAGTTTAAATTTTAGGATTGGGTAAATTTTCCATCACAAATAAACATTTTTTTTTAAGAGATCAGTTGGAAAGAACTTGTATTCCGTTTCGTTTTTTAGGGACTAACTTCAACGCACAAACCACGGAGAAAAAACCTGGCTGTGGATGAAGTAGAAGTTGCTGAGTACTGGTTTCACTCGAAGATCGAGCACGTAAACCTAAACGTACGTTCGCATCCTGAAGATTTGTGCAGACGATGTTAGAACACGAGACCAAGATATTACTGAGGAACAAGACACCATACCATGACGGCCAAGGGACACTCTCCTTCAGCGTAGTGTTGGTCAATCCACTGCGGTCTGCTGGCTGGATACTCAGTTCCTCCGAGGTAGCTTTGGCATCGGTAGGGGAACCAACGCCGGCGATCAGAAGGAGAACAGCAAAGAACGCGGCTTTAACCATTGATTGCTAGTCGCTTGGTCTTCTTCAAGAAAGTTGACGAATGAGAAGTTAGACAGAAGAGATGTGTATATCACCATGTAACGCTGGGGGCAACCACGAAATACTCCTTGTTCATCATTGTCTATTAAGAGGTCAGTCTTGCAAACACCCGCTTTTACGGAATCAATGATGCCATCTATTCCTCATAGCGCCACAGCTTTCAAGATGCAATTTGATATTGCATGCACCTGAATTTTCGGACTAATCTTTCTCTTGATTTTTGCTTTTCAGTAACTGAATTGAAAACACGAGGTCCACGGCTTGTGGACCACAAGTAGTAGCAGCTATCATGCTAATTTATTTGACGGTGTAGGCGTGTCTAGCTCTGCAGGGTCGTACTCAGTATGTACATTCATTTTCAATTCTACGTTGAACTCGGAACGACCACCTCAATCAACTCCAATGGCAAGTATCCTTATCGTGACCACAGCACTGCTTGTCACGATAGCGCAGGGGGCAAGTTACGTTGATCTCTACAAAAACGCGGACTACAAGCACAAGCTTCTTCGGGTGGAAGACATTGAGGTTGATCATTGCTACGTCTTCGCGTGTGATGCTCTGGACAACACTATCACGTCTGCCAAGTGGGGTGGCCTTCCTGAGAAAACATCAAAGGGAGACGATGCAATGATATCGTTCTACACCGACCGAGACTGTCGAGAGCATAATATCTGGTGGCGTACCAAAACCCAGAGCGATGACGATCTGTACTTCCCTTCAAACTTCCGACTCGACGGGATCAACGACCAGATTTCGGCTTTCATGGTGTGGGACACCAAGAAGAATCTAGGCGGGTGGCTTGAGTGCGTTGACCCAGAATTGGAAAACACGGAGATGTCTGGAAGCGGGAATCGCACCAACAGTACTGTTGAATACCTGTAATTTCAGCTCGAAATTTGTCCTGGGTACATTTTCCATTTGACATTTAACTTTTAAATATATGTATTTAGAACTCGCTTCGTTTGATACTTCCATTAGAACCTTAACGTAAAAAAAGCGCTGTCCACACTAATTAAACAAAGTCATGTAATGATTCCTTCAATATGTCTCGTAGCTGATGCCATTACTGTGATGAGGGTAGGCGGGTAGACAACGAGTCTGGACTAATCCGTAGTCAGGCGCAGCTCCTAACGTTCAGTGAGTGAGCTACTGAATAGCCTTTCCAGCGACTAGATTGAAATCACAGCGCCCACAAGCGCTACCACCTATCAATATTGTAGCTTGTCCGCACGTGAAGAGTGACTGCGCTTACGTTTCGTCGGGAACGTACTCCCCACTCACATTCACTTTCAAGCTTTCATCGCAGTCCTCATCCCACCCAACGTCCACCGCAACCATCCTCAATGGCATCGCTGCAGCCTCGTGGTATCCTGGTTTTCACCGCAGTGCTCCTCGTCATGGTAGTGGAGGCAGGTTACGTTGATATCTTCACGGACGCAGACTACAAGGGCTACGTTACCCATATCGAGGACGTGAGAGTTGATTACTGCTATGTCTTGTGCAGGGGTTTGAACGACACAATTACGTCTGCAAAGTGGGGTGGTCTGCCTGAGAGGACATCTACGGGGGATGATGGCCTGATATCGTTCTACGTTGACAGTAATTGCAAGAAGCACAATATTTGGTGGCGAACTAAGACCCAAAGCGATGATGATCTGTACTTCCCTTCAAATTTCAAACTCGACGGGATTAACGACCAAATTTCATCCTTCATGGTGTGGAACACCAAGAAGATTATAGGCATCGCCAATCTTCAGTGCCTTGGAGAGGACTGGGAGAGCAAGACGTTTCCAAATGCGGAAATGGCAGCAACACCAACGCCGGTTCTCTAGAATCTCAATCAATATTGCTTTCTTTAACATCCGTTATCGATAGAAGCAAAATACTTATTTTTTTCAGTTTAATATCGCTAGTGTTGGGGGACGAGAGTGTTAGGCACCGAGAAACACAGTAACATATCCACACTGCAGCGATACCTGGTCTTTTACAAACGTTAGTGGAGGACCTTCGTTAACCACCCAAAGAGGATTGGCGATCTACAGTAGTAGCAAGCGTAAATTAGTTTTTTTCCGGACAAATGTCGTTTCTCGATTTCTATCAAGACGCCAACTTCAAGCGCAAACCGATACCAAGGTGACACCAAGGCGTAAGTGACGCTCTATGTGAGTAGTGCTCGAGTCAGCAATTTGACCCCTTTCCGACCAAAACGGGAGGCGTGTCTACTACTTGGATCAACGGAGTAGTTTCGTGTTTCATGGTGTTACAGTTCTCGACGGGAATTGGACATGTGAGTCGCAGTTGAGCGGATGAGGATTTCACGAAAGCATGGATGCAAATTCAATCAAAATATGGCTTTCCGTCTAAGTAATTTTTTTTAGAATTGACGAAACTAGGTACACCATACTTCTTACAGTAGGATATTGCAAGAACTGCATCATAGAAGGGAGAGAAATAAGGCCGTAAAATTGTGTCAGAAGGGAAACAAACATCCAACACCTAGGTTCGATGTAGGGATTCCTACCACTTTGCATTTACCTTACGACCGCGCCTTCGAAACAAGACCCTAGATGTTCTTTGCCATCTTCATCTTGTGGATTCTATCGCTCTACACATCAGTAGCTGAAAAATCGAACTGGATCGGTCTCTATCGAGATGCAAACTTCAACGGACTTGTTCAGAGTCTTCGCGCTGTGGAATCTCAAACCTGCTACAACATATTGTGCAAAAGCGTCAAAATAACATTGTATCGTCGGCTGCATGGCTCGGCTGGGCTTCGAAAACTACGGAAAGCGTGCTTCCTCGGATTGCCTTCTTTATGTACAAGGGATGTACCTGCACCTCTCAAGGCTACAAGGCGAGTAGAGTAGATTATCCCTCAGACTTCACCACGGACAACGAGGTCACGTCGCTGATCGTATGCGAGAGGAATGCAGTCGATGTGGACAAGACAATCGCCTTCTGTTTGGGAAGTACCGAGCTAGCAGCAGTAACGAAAAAACTAATGTCATGTATGGAAACTAGCGTAATAACACCTAGCTAATGTAGACGGGAAGTATATTTTCTCGGCAACAAGAATTCAAACAAGAGTGGCCCAGGCGGGCGTCGCATGGCTTCTTGAAACCACTGTCTTTGGCAAGCAATAGCTGCACATTTTTCTGGCTTAAATATGGATGAGAATGTCAGCGAGAGTGGCTCACGTACCTCCACAGCAATGGGGTTCCAATAGCGATCACCACTTTTGCATTTGCTTCCTCCTACCGTTTGAGGCTGCCCTACGAATATCCTAACAATGCCCCGCCTTCTCCATCTGCTCCTGATCACTGTGACCATCATCACTTCGGCTATAGCCGAGTTCTCGGGCACTATTAGGCTCTACCGGGACATCGACTATCGCCACAACCTTGCGCTGTTCGAATTCACCAAGTCGAATCGCTGTTTCAACGTGGCCTGTGGCAACTACAACGACGCGATTTCGTCGGTCAAGTGGTCAGGACTCCCTACAACAGCCTCATATGACGGTAGTTCCAACGCGAAAGTGGTGTTCTATATCAACGCGGACTGCAAGGGCAAGAGCAAGAGCTACTCGACTTCACTGTCTGGTGTCAAGTCTTTCGTGGATGAAGGCATAAACGACGCAATCTCCTCCTTCATGGTGCTGGAGTCGTCTGAAAGTGTTGAAAATGGGATTGCCAGCCTGTGCTCGCTGTCGAGAACTTTGAGTGAGCATACGAACGGAATATGAGGATGAACAGCGATTTATTTCTCTCTATTTCGAAGTAGTTCTATAAAACTTAAAATATACAAAAATGCAACTTGAAACAGTCTATCGCATTCCAAGGTTCTGACTTGAGCTTACTGGATTCCAATCTGCTGTGAAGCTCATGTGTTTCCTGGAAATGAAATCCACTTCAATTCCAAGGAGAAAGGATAATAGTTAGTACTTGGGCCCAGTAGCAGCCGTCGCGCTTCACTTTTATAAAAACACCCGCTATAGTTTGCTCACAGAACGCAATGGCCAACACTCTTCAACGTACCCTCCGTGTGGTCGTCGCAGCTCTTCTATTGACCTCCACCCACAGCATCTCGTACACTATCGATGCTACTCAAGCCGACGAATCCACTGCTACCTCGCCTTGGACTGGACAGGTGAAGCTGTACAAGGATACAAACTTCCGTTCGTTGTTGATCACACTGAAATTTAACACTGCGAATTTGTGTTTCAACCTGGCTTGCGGCGATATCGACGATGCCGTTTCTTCAGCGACATGGAAAGGATTGCCACTGCAGGCTTACTTTAGCGGCGGCACAACGTCACTACTGATGTTCTACCGAGGAATCGACTGTGCGGGTGTCAGCCAAGGGTGGCCAACATCGACTGAAAAGGCCGCAGATTTCGGCGCGGTTGGGATAAACGACGCGGCTTCGTCTTTCATGTTTCTGCAGAATTATACGGGAGTGCACAACGGAATTCAAAGCATCTGCGACTATAAGTTAGTAGTCAACGCCTGAGTTCTTTACTCGCTATATGTGCTACTTTCCATCGCTCGAGTATCCAAGCTTACCAGTGAAAGTTACACAAACTTTTTTTTTTCCTTTGCTTTACTTAAAAATAGGAAAAACGCATGAACGCCTCTGTGTTGAAGACAATTACACTACAAACCGAAGCGCGCACACACCACACTAGGAGACCGTCGCGTTGACCATGTGGAGAGTGTCACTCTGCGAGACATATCCACCGACAACATTCGACCCAGTCCACATGCAAATGTTGGAAAACCCGTTGTCCACAAGCTTCGTTACGGATAACACCGCGAAAGATTTGATAACACCTTGGACTTTGTTGGGGCTGAAGTCGCGAATGCCGCCGTTATGAGGGAGTGTGATGGTCGCCCTGTTCCCTTCGCAGCCGGATTCTGCGTAGAAGACGATGTATGCCTTCCCGTCGATGCCCGTTGTCGGGAGGTCGCCCCACCTCGCAGATTCGACCTTGTTGGCGAGAAAGTTACAGTCGATGTTGTAACATTGATTCGGGTAGTTAATGTTGATCGTGAGCAGAGGGTTGTCGTAATAGACGCCCGAGTAGAGCTTCACGGTGCCGTCGATCATGGTTCGAACACCATTTGTAAAGTAAAAGCCCGAAGCGACAGGTGTGAAAGCGCACACAAAGACGATGAAGAAGCAGCTCGAAGACATTTTTGTGCTTGATTCTGGACGAGAAAATTCAACACTGAGAGCAAAGCTACGTTTCAAGAACTTGTATGATGCAAAGAAAGAGCTCTCAAAACCGCCGATAACGCAAAGGCGCAACAGTCAAGAGCTAGAACGCAAAATGTCAGCGTTTTATTATGGAAGTTAGATAGGATCACGGAACAGACTTTACTTTAACTCGTTGCAACGAAAAGTAGGCAATGAAGTTGAAGCACGAGAGCATTTCGGGGTTTATTTCTGCATAAGAAAACATAAAACTAGAGCATGTCGAAACTCAATTATTGGATTTAAATCGTACCTAATTCAAGATAAGCTACAAACGCTTGTTTACCAGTCCTTTGATTCATCTTTGACGCTTTTATCGTTGTCAGCTTCAGACACCGAGCCTCCGTCAACGTCGGCACCTTTCCAGTCGCAAACATTTGCAGATCCGTGTCGTTTTTTCCTGGACTCTGATCGCACCATGAAGGAAGAAATATCACCTTGGACGTTTGAAACAAACTCTCGAACGCCACCATTGTGTGGTAATAGCGATGACGTCTTGCTTCCCTTGCAGCCTGTGTCGGCGTAGAAGGTGATGAATGCCCTTCCAGCCCATCCTGTTGTTGGCAGCCCGGACCATCTCGCTGACGCTGTCTTATCGTCGATATTGGTGCAGTTGATATTGTAGCACCGGTTCGGCATGTAGATGTCGATACTGAGAAGCTTGTGGTCGTAATAGGCACCAGCGTAGAGTTCGACGTTGCCTTCAAAAGCGATGTAGTCTTGAGCAACAGCAGCACTACCAGCACAATCTCTGGTTGAGAAAGCTGCCAGAAAGTAGGCGAAAAGAGCAAACACTTGAAGCGAACCCATGGCGTGAAGTGGTAGGAAGGTAGACGAATGACTCCAAAGTTAAACCTCCTCAAGGCCTTCTGGTCAAATTGACAGGGTAGTTAAACCCATGCGATTAAACCAGAGAGTGGTTTTTACGTGTTGGTATCCAGAAATGAATCATCTTGCCATCGACACAGCACAACCTTTCTGGATGGAACCACTACGACACAAAAAACAACAATTATTTGCCCTTTGCTGCTGCCAGGGTTGTACCACACTGATGAATTTGAGAAACTTTAGAAGCAGCTTGAATGGAACCCCATTTTTGTATAACCTTTCACGACAACACTCAGCTCACTGCCTCTCCAACTCAGATCAAGTCATGCGCGTTTACCAAGCACTCACCGCTCTGTCGCTCTTCTGCTCTGGGTTCCTTTCCAACTCTGCTTCGGCGTGGTCCGGCTTGGTGACGTTCTACGAAAATGTAGAATTCGCTGGCTCCAAATACGAGTGGAATATCACCGAGACGCAACTGTGCTACAACCTCGCGTGCTTCGACAACAAAGCCTCGTCAGTTAAGTGGGATGGTCTACCGAAGACAGGAAACTTCCACGGCAAGTCGCGCATCGCCTTCTTCACAGGAAAAGACTGCAGCGGAGATAGTCGCGACTGGCCTACCGATGAGGACAACTATCCGATGGATTTCACTCTGGATGGCATCAACGACGCCGTTTCGTCTTTCATCATCTGGGAAGACAACAAGAAGCTCACGAACGGCAAGGAAACCCCCTGTCTGTGGGGATGAACACCATGAGTGTTAGTTTTCCACTATTGTTTTTGTTTGTGTTTCTTACTTAAGTATTCGAAATCTACAAAATTCTTAACATAACGTCATTCAAGGCCAGAACGGTAGAATACCAGGGCGTTCCACCCCAAATTGGTGGTTCTACTTCCAACCAGGAAACTGCACCAAGAACATAATAGCATTTTAGATTTCACCTCCTTTGTACACCGTTTACCCCACAATGCAGTCTGTCTTCTTGAGTACAACGCTACTCTCTTGGATTCTTCTCTTCAATCCCGTGTCCGCGTGGTATGGCGTCGTCACGTTTTATCGGGACACGAAATTCCGCGGTCCTAAATTTCCCTGGGGCATCGCACAGACTCAACGCTGTTACAATCTTGGCTGCTTCAACGATAAGGCGTCCTCTGTGAAGTGGGAAGGTCTGCCAACCACAGGCAAGTTCAACGGCCAAGCGCGTATAGCGTTCTTTACAGGCAAGGAGTGCACGGGAGACAGTCGAGATTGGCCGACGGATGGAGTCATCAACGACAAGGAGGGCAACTACCCCATGGACTTCCCTCTGGACGGAATCAACGACGCGATTTCGTCGTTCATGATATGGGAGACCAGCAAGAAGGACACAAACGGCCAGGATTTACCATGTCCGTGGGGGATTAAATAGTAGAATTCAGTCCCAACAATCAAGTAGGGACCTTCGATGCCACCAGCTTATCGAAATACAGAGTCGTGCTCATTATTATTGTACTCTTTACTCAATACACCAATACAACGTTGGCTACTGCCGGCATTCTTGACCTTCGCCTCAGTTGGAAACTTGTTTTGATGGCAAATCTAACAGCGTTTCTGCTTCTCCTCGTTGTATTCGCACCTGTTTGGGCGACCGATATCTGGTTTTACGACGACGACGACTACGACAAGCACAAAACGTTTAAGAGGTTCAACTTCGGGACGGCTCAACGCTGCTACAACATCGCCGACTGCTTCAATAACAAAGCCTCGTCAGCGTCATGGATCAACGCCCCCAAGGAAGCTTGGCTCACTTTTTACGATGATGAAGAGTGTCGTGGCACGTAGTACGCGTCACGGTCGACCCCGTCGGGAGAAATGAAGTTCGCCCCCGTTGGTCTCGGCAACAAGATCTCGTCCTTCATGCAATTGGAGTACTTAACCTTTCCTCTCAAAGGATTCGTGGACATCTGCAACGACGCCGCAATTCTCGCAGTCAACGCTACAGCTAACACAACTAACGCTAGCAACGCCACCGACAACAGTACTATGGACGCAACGATCAGTTTCTACTAACACGGACATTAAACAAACCGATAACTATAATATAGGTTATCCCATCGACAGAATTACTCTGGCCATCAGCGGTATTTCCTCTATGCTCTTTTTTTTCTATCATCAATGCGACCTCAGGGAGCCCTCACTTTTGGAGTTTTCATCGGAGATGCAGTTCGCAACACTGTTGAGCACTCTCATTTCCGTCTATTTTATCATCGCCAAGGTCCAAGCCATGAAGTTGGTGCTCTACAGCACTCGTGGTGTGACTCGCGAATTCAATATTGACGCGGTAGTTCAGCGGTGCTACAACATCTACGACTGCTTCAAAGGACCAAGCTTGTCGGCGACTTGGAACGACGTGAAAAGCCACACGAACGTGGTCTTTTACAGCAACGCGAATTGCCAGAAACACAAGGCTGTTGGAAAAGGAACTCCGGACGGCGCACTTTCCTTCTCCGATGCCAAGTTTGCCCATACTGCGGCTGCCTTCATGATATGGGAGAGCGGGCAGTATGCAACTGGCGGTATTGAAGACGCATGTTTCCTGGACGAATCTGCTATGGTGAACACTACCAACACCTTGTCGGCCTAAAAAGACGATAGAAACCATCGTTTTTAAACGAAAAATGCGATACTAGAATGGCGTTATTTTATTTTATTTTATTTTATACGTGTATCGCTTGGCGGTACTCACCCGATTTTTCTGGTTTCTGATTGACACACATGATTGTCGAGCACAGGTTCAATGGTGGAGATCATCCTAGCCACATTCGAGTATTTCTTACTTACTAAAAAGGTATAACTTCGATGTAAACAATTTTGAATCCCCACATCACTTTCAAATTCGACAACTCGAGGCACAATGAACAATTTTATTAAGATTTTGGCTGTGTTGTTGGCGACTGCTGTGTCCGTTGTGTCGGCTAAAATGCGAGTCTGGGTCTACGCTGGAGCATACTTGGGGGCAGACCGGTGGTCGATGAAGTTTTCGACTACTCAAAAATGCTATACATTCAGCTCTTGCTTGGACGACGACAGCGTCGGGGCTGACTGGTCAGGTATCGATGAGTCCGCCATAGTCTTTTACGAGAAGGAGCAATGTCAAGGAGAAAAACTCATCAGTCGCGATTTCCCAAAGGGGCAGCTGATGTTTTCATCTTTCGACAAAGGCGCCAAGTCGTTTATGGTGTGGTCTGACGGGATGTATGCGACGAGAGGCATCGAGCTTGAATGTCTGGAGCGAGCAAGACTGAACGCAACGAATGCAACCAATTCTGCTGGTGAAGTTGACGATGCTACTCTACCAAGTAACGTCTAACCGATGCGTAGTTCTAAGTCTCTTTTAACCTGGAGTTTTTAGAAAATTAGCTTTCACATACGAACACGTAGTCCTGTAGTCTTAGCTTGAATTGATGCACTGGGTGCTTTGGTTTCCACCGTGATAAGATGGCTTGGTTCGATGTTTAATGAATAGTTTACTCAAACCGGTTGGCAGAGTGGTGTCAGAATCATAGCGAAGAGAAGTGACAATGTGATAAACACACTAATCATTAAAACTATTCATTGATATAGCGATTTTTGTACGATATTATTACCTACTATACAGAATAATGCGAACTGAAGAATCAAGTAGAGTTCCATCCAAAATTCATCGCACAGAGGTGTTGGAGTAAGCCATTGAATATGCCAGTACTATCACTTACCAAATCCTGTTGAAGTACCCGAAGGATGAACTCCGCTATCGCTGTTGCTATCTTCATGGTCGGTTGCTTACTCCAGTCGGTTATTGGTTTCCTTAATGGGACTCAACTCAGTGCCCAGCTTAAACTGTACGACGGAGTCTACTACGACAACCCGTTCGCTTTAATCACGTTTGAGGTGGCTAACCGATGTTACCAACTTGACTGCGGCAATCTCGACAATCGCGTGGCTTCTGCGAGATGGTCCGGACTACCTACCCAGGGCTGGCTAAGAAAAAATGTTCTGATTTCGTTCTACGCTGATGCGGACTGTAAAGGTGCGCAAGAGTCCGTAGTGCTTCCCCATAACGGAGGAATCCGAGAATTTCATCTCAAGAAGGTGATCGGCAAGATTTCGGCCTTTATGGTGCGGCTAGACGGTTTACATGCGACCTATGGATGCGAGAACGTGTGCAATAGCTATTTCGACAAGAACGCTACCCTCCGCCTTCGCACGAGTAACTAAAGCTTAGCGCAGCTAATCATTTCTTTAACTTCCTAAATCTATATGCGATAGTTCACGTTATTTATTTCGCGTCGCTATCCCTAACAAGATTATAAGGCCATCGGTATTTAGTTCTAAGGAGTAGCCAAATATCAGTGGCCGTTGGCAGGATTGCCCTTCGCTGACGGAAGCGCTCAAGTCGCGAAAGCGTTCCACATAATAATTTGTACCAGCTACATTGAGTGGTCGTGTCTGCAGGAAAAATACAGAAAAGTGCGTGCCCTCTACATCCACTAATCTAGGCCACGCTGACTCCAAGATTCATGTTCGAACTAGTTGCAGTGACGAAGGCGTTCCAACGAATCCTTCACTTCTTTTTCGTCTTCGCAGTAAGCTAACATGGCCATTTTGAAGATTATAGCCTACTTCTTCACACTGTTGGTGGCTCAAGAAGTGGCGGCTTGGTCCGGAACCGTGACATTCTATGACAATCGCTGGCATGACAAAGCTGGTGGGAGCTACACCTACCATATCGACGATTCGCAACAGTGCATCAATCTCAGTTGCTACAATGATCGTGCTACATCTGCCAAATGGAGTGATATTGTCAAGTGGGGGGCCTTTGATGGCAAGTCTCGAATTGCCTTCTACACTGGCAAGGATTGCACCGGCACTGTCAAAGACTGGGACATCAAACACCCGAACGGGTACCCCGGCAACTTCTTTCTGGACGGAATCGACAAACAAATTTCGTCATTCATGATCTGGCAGTTTAACAAGAAGGTGAAATCGACTTCGCTGCCGTGTCCTTGGGACTTTAAGTGTTGTTTGTGAGAATTCGACGAGCTACTGAAATAAGCGTAAGCTTTCCAGAAAAAAAAAACTTTTAAAAAACCTGGGTAATTTTTTTTTATCAGTTTCCGACGACTGCAATTTGAATTGTCAATGCTTGCGTATCGACACAGAATGTTGTTGTCGTTTGGCCTTATTAGGTTACTTCATCATTCTATTTCTATAGAGTAAGTACTTTTGTATATTAGACAATTACAAATGTGATGATGTAGAGCGTAAAGAAAACAGTATTCTAGCGATTTTTACTTCGAAATTTCAGTATTTTAGAGCCGCCGGATCGTAGCTACTTCCAATTTTAAATGAATAAAGTGATTATAACTAAGTAGATATTAATTATATTTTTTAAGAATTTTATTTAAAAATGTCGAGCGAGATTCTATGAGTTCCAAAGATCCCAAAAAAACCTAAATTGTAACCGAATCCACGCCCAGAATATTGATTGTTCACAGCACGAAATTTGAAATAATTGCTGTCACTTTCGGCTTGCTGACACACACGCAGCACCTTGCAATAACCAAGAGAACTAATTTAAAAATACGTGGTGCAGCCTCATTTTCATCTCATCATGCTGGCGCCTGGCTTCGCTCGGCATTCGGCTCCCCATGTCATTACCGAGCATTTCCACTTTACTTCAAGTTTTCGAGATTGTCAAGGAGCAAGCGCAGGGTCACAGCCTCTCTGCGCCTCTGTTCGCTTTAATAGCCGTCGCTCGACTCCTGTATCAACGCAGACAAGCACAATTAGAGCAGCTGTGTGAAGATCAACATCGTCATCGATACTTAATCAAAGGCCCTGGAGCCGAAGATGACCACATTGACGAAGAAGGGAATTATCGAAGTAAAGTTTCTCCTCCTGTTCCAGAGTGGAATGTCGTGGCCGAAGACGACACCAAGACCCTGTCACTGGTATACTATCCAGAAGAGGAGGTGAGAGAGGAGACACCAGAAGAAGACATGGAATCGCCCTTAGAGAAAGTTTTAATTCTCGTGATCCCGGGAAACCCGGGGAATCCGTACTACTATCTATCACTGATGCAGGAACTCGTCAAGAAGCACGGACGTCGTCATGAAATCCGCTGTTTATCGCACGCGGGTCATGTGATGCCCTGGAAAAATCACAATCGAGATTTCACGCTGCAGGAGCAAATAGACCAGAAGGCATTCTACGTTAAGCAGAGACTATGTGAAGAGCCGACACTGCGTCTTGTGGTTATTGGACATTCGATTGGGAGCTACATCACTTTGGATATCGCGAAGAGATTTCCTCAGAACATTGCGAAGCTGGTGCTGATGCAACCTGCGATCATGCACATCGCATTGTCCCGCAAAGGCAAGCAATTCATGGCAGTGGTGAACAACTACGAGTTTATAGTAATGTTCATAGCTGCTATCGATTACATGGTGCCCATATCGCTACGTCGATGGATGGTGAGACGTTCGGTTGGGTCTCATGCTGAAGAAACAGTGCGACTGGCATCTTTGTCGCTTGTGAACTCCTGTGTTATTCAGAACGTACTGGGGATGGCAGCGAACGAGATGGCAGAAGTTGTCGAATTGGATGAGGAGTTGGTCACACGACATGAAGACAAGATTTTATTTGTCTACTCAACTGTGGATGAATGGGTGCCGGGGGAGTTCATGCAAGAGTTCCAATTGCGCTTTGTGAATGCACAGCATCGAGTCGTACCTAATCGTCATGCCTTTATGATGGAGCTTGATGGTACTCGCAACGTGACGGAGCATATCTCGCAATGGATTGCTGTTATTCTGGACGAGAAGAAGGAAATCAAAATCAAAATTTGCGACTAAGGTGTATTTCACTTCCTTGAAAAACTGTATTTTTAAACAAAACAAGTTTTCCAAATTGTACTACTTCGAAGTACTAAACTTTTTAGGTTATAAACATGGTTGCTAGAATGCCTTAACATCAAGTTTAAGGCTTTTCAAAATGAGTGTATTATGAAGTTAGCGAATTCTATTGCTCATCCAACCTCATTGGCACTGCATCACATGAGACGAACTCGTTTCGAGGCATTACCGACCGAATCACCGTCGAATCGTTCCATTAAGTGATCCAGTTCGGACTTGTACTCTTGCAGTTTGTGTTGGCATTCCATGAAATAATTTTTCGTTTTCGTAATGGTAACCACAGCGTTACCGTTGATTGAGCTCGCTTCCATCTCAAACGAAGCGCCGGTTTTCTCTGCTCGGGTCCATTTGGTAGCGTAGTTTCGTGCATCTTTAAATGACTTGAATTTGCAGACTGCGTTCGTCGTCATGGTCATGTCCGGGCCTCTAAGAAACTCTTGGATCTTCGCATTGTCTGAAAACTCAGTGTCTGGTATTTGCCACGTAAAGGGCTTATCTATCTAACCCTTCGATTTGTTGCTTCAACCACTCGATCCGTTTGCTCATGAGGGATTTCAAAATATCCACTTTACCGTCGCTTGGAGCAAGCTCTCCAATATACACCAACAATGCCTCGATGACTGGACCTAGTTGGCTAGAATCCATCTTGCTACACTTCGTGGCGACAGTACCAAAGATCTTGCTATCATCAGTGCGGATAGTCCATTTCCACAAGAGATTGAGGATACCGGGATGCTGCAATTCCTTCGAATCGAGCTTTGCAGCCTTATCCACAGCTAACGTCAGCAATTTTTGCTGTGCAGGTCCTCTATCCAGTCCGCCGATCACCCGTAATGTCATCTCTACATCGATACGAGGAATGTTCTCCTCACTTTTCCATATCCCCCAATCCGGAACCTGTATCGTAAGGTTTAGAATCGCCTCTTCAATATCATTCCAATTAAAGGAGCGGATAATACTCGAGATACCCAGAACGAGACTCTCGTTTCCACTTGAACCAGCTAGTCTAGGACAATATTCTGTGATAAATTCTTCCACTAGCGTCAAATCGGCAGCGTAGTTCACAATATACCCGAGAAAATCTAACAGACATTTCGAATTGTGGTCGCCGACAGCGTGACCGCAAGTGATCATTCTCTGCGTGATATTTATCAGCCAGAGCATCCCAATATTTTCGAAGTGTAGTGGCGTCAACAGGTCTCCTTGGAAGCAAGGCCTCAACAGCACTTTCCAGAGTCATGTGTTTCATGGCGTATACGAAATCTCGAACTGCAGGCCAAGCCACAAATGCGAACCTTGAATACGTAGTAATCTTCCAGTCGCCTCTATTGCCAAGCCATCCCTCTTCAACACTATTACTATGCGGTATCCACATTTCTAAAAGAGTTTCCAGGGTGGGGTTCAAGTAGTTGAAATTCTCGGTCGAATGGTCAATACGTCCGAGTTTTTCTCCGTGTATGGAGTACCAAGTGCTTGATTCGTTGCGTTCGCGTTCGTCCCGATCATTTCTATCACCAGCAAAGGTGATCTGAAGTTTCAGCCCAACAAAAGGAATCCTCAGTTTTTCTCAAGAGCAGTAAAATCGTTTGCCTCCTCTATCATTCGGTACCTGGAGAGATCGAGATCGAGATCTCTCAGTGCTCCAACACCCAACTCGTCAACAACTTCTGTGTCATATTTCTGCGTTAAGAGTAGTGCAAAACATCGGGGTCCAGGGTGTTAATCACACCGGCCAAATCTTCGCTCGCAGGTTTAATGGAAGGCCTCGCTAGGTGGTGCATCGACGGTGGCAATTGAATCGAATAAATCATAGTCAGACGATATCCTTGCGTCACCTTTTCCAGCTCGTAGTCCGCATCAGCAAATATGACTACATAATGAGGCAGAAACGACTCAATACCTTTTGCTTTTCCGAAATCATGTCGACGCTTTTCTAGTCCACCTCGGTACACCACAAGATCGCCGCCTTCATACAAACTTGGTAGTTGAATTACCAGTGTCGCTATCACCCCGTTTCCGGTTTTGTTCACTTGCCGCTTCATAAAACTACCTCCTTCTCCATGGATCAAGAATTTGCTTAAGTGGCTCTGCATTGCGACTCCTTTGTGACCGAGTTGTCCAGCTAAAATCTCCACTAACTTGTCAATGCCAATCTGCCACGCCGTATTCTTGAAATCGAGTTGGTATGGTCGCAATTGCCCACGAGAGTTGAATTGTCTTTTCGCAAAGTTACCAGAATCGGAGCCTTGCAGATAATTTGTAATAAGTAGTAGGGCTTGGGCTTGGCTGAGCGGGAGTGAGATTGGTCCGACCCCTTTCATTTCTAGTCCAGGGATCAAAGGCAACGTGTCGGCCTGGCCCTCAAATGAGTACACTCCTGATTCGTCACCGACTCGCCCCAATATCTTGTTAATCTTCATGTATTCAGCTCCTGCCGGTGCTGGTACATCGTTTGGTTTGCCTTCTATGCCAAAAGGCCAAACGCCGTTTTGAAATCTTTCTCCTCGCCGACGCACTCGAACATACTGCTTCTGACGCCGAAAAAAACTGTGACTAAAGTTCAAATCTTCGGACAATCGCTTCCCGTCAAATGAAGACTGAAAGAAGATTTTTCTTTCCGTACGATGAAAACAATTTTTTTTTCAGAAAGAGTACTCGCGAACTCAGCGAAACTTCATCTGCAGCAATTTCACGCTCAATTTGTACGCATCAACTATTTTCTCGTCAAAACTACTACACGCTTTTTCTGATGATCTTTTTTCTTTTTCAGTTGATCAGCAACTTTTAGGAGAAGCAGTCTCAAGGTGGATAACTCACTGAGTGATGGCTGCAAGGTAGTCAATACGTCACAACGAAAGCCTCTATTTCAAAGATATAATTTTATGAGGCAAGAAAGTTTAGCACTGCTTTGGCGGTTTCTTTCTTCTCGTCCAGAATAACAGCAATCCATTGCGAGATATGCTCCGTCACGTTGCGAGTACCATCAAGCTCCATCATAAAGGCATGACGATTAGGTACGACTCGATGCTGTGTATTCACAAAGCGCAATTGGAACTCTTGCATGAACTCCCCCGGCACCCATTCATCCACAGTTGAGTAGACAAATAAAATCTTGTCTTCATGTCGTGTGACCAACTCCTCATCCAATTCGACAACTTCTGCCATCTCGTTCGCTGCCATCCCCAGTACGTTCTGAATAACACAGGAGTTCACAAGCGACAAAGATGCCAGTCGCACTGTTTCTTCAGCATGAGACCCAACCGAACGTCTCACCATCCATCGACGAAGCGATACTGGAACGAGGTAGTCAACAACTCCCATCAACATCACTACAAACTCATAGTTGTTCATCATAGTCATGAATTGCTTGCCTTTGCGGGACAATGCGATGTGCATGATCGCAGGTTGCATCAGCACCAGCTTCGCAATGTTCTGAGGAAATCTCTTCGCGATATCCAAAGTGATGTAGCTCCCAATCGAATGTCCAATAACCACAAGACGCAGTGTCGGCTCTTCACGTAGTCTCTGCTTAACGTAGAATGCCTTCTGGTCTATTTGCTCCTGCAGCGTGAAATCTCGATTGTGATTTTTCCAGGGCATCACATGACCCGCGTGCGATAAACAGCGGATTTCATGACGACGTCCGTGCTTCTTGACGAGTTCCTGCATCAGTGGTAGATAGTAGTACGGATTCCCCGGGTTTCCCGGGATCACGAGAATTAAAACTTTCTCTAAGGGCGATTCCATGTCTTCTTCTGGTGTCTCCTCTCTCACCTCCTCTTCTGGATAGTATACCAGTGACAGGGTCTTGGTGTCGTCTTCGGCCACGACATTCCACTCCTTAACGGGAGAAGGGAGTTTACCGTGCGATTTCTTTGCTTCGCCTTCCTCATCGGTGGCATCATCGTCGGTGTCAGAATCGGCAATCAAATAGCGGGGACGATCTTGTCGCTGTTGCTCCAACTGCTCTTTATGGCGTTGGTACACGATACGAGCGACTGCTATCAATGCGAAGAGTGGGGTGGAGATATTGTAGTTCTGTGCGTGCTCCTTGATTGTCATGAATGTCTGAATCATGGTCGAAATGTCTGGCAATGATGGCGACGACGTATTGGGCGACGAATATCGAGCAAAGCCGGGTGCTAGCATCTTGACATTACTGAATTGCGAATGGGACTTGATGGTTGAACGCTGCCTTCTGGTGGTATTATAAAGGTATCAGCGGAGTAATCATTCAGCTGGGTATACACGTATATTCATGGCAAGTACACTTTATCCCGGGATTGTATACGCCGTATTACCTGTTCATGTATCTATCGTTTTGATATGAGTTGGATGCACGGCTTGAATTACCGATAGGCAAATTAGTCATTGCCAGTGATATACTAGTACTGGCTAGGTAATAAAAAAAACGCGTACTCTCTGCTAAAGTGAAATTTTAAGAGACAGTGTTTTTTTTACTTCAGACCCCCTGTTATAATAGTAGCAACCAGGAAGGTAGCTCCAACAGCGAAATACGTTTTACTGCCCATAACCGATGGGTGAGTCGCAGTACACGGTCGATCTGCACGTCCAGTCCGACGTCAGGTTGGTTTAAAGGCGAAGTTGGGCGGTGAAAGGCGAATTGCGAACTGACTGTTCTACTTTTATGCGTGACAATGCGATAAGGGATCTCAGCCTATGGGTTCTACAAAGCATAGCCATAATAGTACATGTATCACAACCTTCTACGACGTTTGAGATCACGGTCTCACTTTGTGTGGTGTGATCACAACGCGCCAGTTGTGCCACACTTTGTTGATTTGATCTTCAAAATTAACCTTAAAGCTTGATTAAACGTGCCCCACGCATGAACCAAGCTCTTAACTGTTACAATTTTCTATTTCAAAGTGCGTCGTATTATTACACATAGTAGGTTCTCGTTATCTTGCATTGGTCATACTAGAAACTGATTCGGAATTGTTTGGTATTTGGACTTTGGACACTAGCCAAGCAAACTGGAAACTGTAATCGTACCCTACGAGAAAAAAAGTTAAAGTCCAAGATCTACCCGACGCATCCCCAACATCTTCGGCAATACTAAAAATCTCACCTGAGTGTTGTAGTGATGCCTGGACATTGTAGAACACCCAAAATACAACACTGCTGTACACTCTGTGAAATTGTTTCTCCAGGACAAATACCAGTTGCCGGGTCGGTGAAAACCCCAACATTCTTTTTAACGTAAAAACCAGCATCGCGAAGGAGAATAACTGCAGTAAAAAGTAGAACATCACATTTTGCAGTGTTTGCATGAGCTGGTGCTCATCCATACCATCGAATGCTGGATAGTACGTTCGATTGGGTAGGTGGTACGTGGCAAGCGTGTTGAGTGCTGCTCACAATTAACGATAGATAAGTAATTGCCGAATCATAGCAGTGCGAAAGTACTTGTACTTACAGAAGACCAGTGGGATGAATACTTCGACGTAGTTCAAAAGAACGAGAAATTCCGCCATATACAATAGACGTCGTACTTTGCACGTGTATCGTAGAGTAATCGACATGTTGCTAGACCCAATATCGGTCCGGTCATTACTGATCGGATGAACGGCTACACCCGTAGCACGGACCATACCACCCGCTAAAGAGCTCGAAGGATCCATATTTTTTGGCATCACTACCGTTTTCCTAGTATCCACCTCTTCTCCTTCAGCTTTAGCATCGTTCAAGACACGATCACAAAATGACGCTATTCGTACGATATCAGCAGTAGAGGATATCCGAGTATTTTCTTGGTTTTCGTTCTGCTGAAGTAGTGTACTGGCTCGATCGAGCGTTGTCTGTTCCAAATATCTGCCATTTTGAGCAGAGTTGTGGAAACGCCCCCAGCCTTTTTTCTTGTCAATACGTCGCTCCAAGCTTTTTAAGCCACGGCGAGCACTCTCGATGTCACGCAGTGAAACAACTGTAAGCAGTGCATCTGCGATAGTTATCTGCAGTGTTGTCCATATCGACGGAGACTTCTGCATACAGTATGACATGAAGAGTGAATTGAATACTTCAGCGTGAAATACAACGAATTCAGGGGTTGCATCACTAAAATGAACAGTGACACGGGCAAAGAGATTTCGCATAATCAACTTGATCACTGGTAATAACAAAGCGAATGCTCTTTGTCCATCAAGGGACAAAGTCGTGAAAATGTAAAAGAATGCTGGATAAATAAAAACCATCAGCGCGTCGCAAATCCACAACTTGATTAAGGTGATGACAGCTTGCTGAGTGTCAGGGTTGCTCCGAATCTGTGCGGCCCATTCCACAACCACGAAAATCGCAGTAAGTACCGTCCAAGCGGGTGATACCGTCAAAACTGAAAATGGCAACGGAAAGCCAATTGAACGGGTCATTCCGTAGAGAATACAAACAGTAATAGCCGATATCACAAGTGCATTAAGCAGCGCTCGTATAACAGTAAATGATCGTGAAGGCATCACAGTCCGGACCAGATGCGTAGCGACAAGACTAAATACAACAAAACTGTAGTACACTCGCACAAAGCTCATCGTATTGGCGTCTATGGAGTCGGTGGGATCAGCGAGCGGAAAAACATCGATCAGCACAGTGACAGCCACACACGGAAGCGGGATGCCGAACAAAATCGCTATATCATGAATCCAATTCGATGTGCGTTCGTGTTTTGCCAATTGTAACACGCGCGCGGTCGAGTAGATTCCATGGAGTTCTACTTGCATGGACTCCCACATGTTGGCGAATAAGCTCCATTTGGGCCACAGAAGCCGAGCCAGGATATGGAAGAGCATGACGTGTGCGTTCGATAGAAGTCTATGGTAACGACGTGAAGACTTGAATGAATTCAAACAGCTGGACATGTATCGATACAGCTATTAATACTCGTGGAGGACGTGCCTGGAGGCGGACTATTTCGGTCGTTGAAAGCAAGAATATCTAACAGAAGTAAGTACTAGTAGCCGCAAAGAATGGATTATTTTATTATTGTTATTGCAATTATTATTTTTTCTTGGGGGGCAATAAAGTGTAAGAAAATATATTTTATACCAAGACTGTGTTCAACAATTCCTGGTGCAAGCAAAGGACCCTCGATTGCACAATAGCGAGTATATCACGCTAAGATGTTCATTCAATGGCTAGACTGTGTGATTGAGTTTTGCTTGAATTCTTTGGAAGATATTACCTCTAATGACGTCTTGTACCAAGTGGTTAACGTAGCTGAGCATTTCTCGATCTACATTGGGGAGGACAGCTCAGTACAGACAACATGCCTGCAATACTTGCAGCGTTTATAATCTTCCTGGTCAGGCTGCGGTCAGTGACGGCCTGGTCTGGCAGCGTCACCTTTTATAATAATCGTTGGCACGACAAAAGTGGCGGCACATACAAGTATGTCATCGACGACTCGCAGCAGTGCATCAACCTCAGCTGCTACAATGACCGCGCTACGTCTGCCAAATGGAGTGGTTTGGTGAAGTGGGGTGCCTTCGACGACAAGTCTCGCATCGCGTTCTACACCGGTAAAAACTGTACCGGCACGGTACGCCACTGGGAGATCGAGGACCCTGGTTACTTTCCAGGCAACTTCTTCCTGGACGGCATCGACGACGACATCACTTCGTTCATGATCTGGCAGTTTAGCAAGGAGGCAAAGTCGTATACGCTGCCGTGTCCTTGGGACTTCAAGTGCTGCTTGGGGTGAGTTCCTAAAAACAGCGAACAACTGACGCCGTTTACGTCAAACAAACGCTCCAACGTAGTCATTAAGGGATTCAATGGTAGTTGGAATATCTCAAAGCTTTCACTAGTTGGCTGCAATTGTATTCATGTCGTTTGCTTGATATCACGATGCTATTTAACGGCTTGATCGTCGAAAAACTCAGATCAACTTTCTGCATTATTTTTACTTAAGCACTTCTTTTCTTGTATCGGGTATCCAAATCGAAACGATTATTTATATCGGGTACCCCCAGGTGAAAACCTTACCTGATTCGGGTGCCCAATTGGATTTGACATGTTAAATTAACATGTAATAAGTTTGGATTGAAAGCTATTCGCAATTTATATTACGAAAATAGACCTGAGTAACAGGCACCACTGCCGATAGAGCTTGCTGGAAGTCGTCTGCCCAAAGTACTACGTGGGGTAAGAGCTCGCAGCAACGAGAATTTGACGCCCATTTGTTTGTTTGGAGGGGCAGTCGTAAAACAAACCAAGGTTACTGCTCTACAAAAATAGCCACATCGTGACCTATACACGAAGCAGCTCTATATATGTAATGGCCTCAATGGGGTGATTAAGTTGTAGCAAGTCAATATTATGCTGCTACAATAATTACAGTTAATAAATACCTTGCAGATGCAGTCAAAAGGCTCATACGAGTGCCTCAGCATCGCGACGATCTAGTATTGCCTAGATTGGTGCTTGAGATGCTGCTTTTTTTTACCAAGCACTTCGATATTTGCCTCGTGGCTCGTGCTGGTTAATGCGACTGGGAATAAGGTTATTGAATGTTGGCATCCATCTCCTGTTGTCATGCGCAATGGTAATAAGGTGTACAGGATGAGGCTGTACGTTAAGAATTGCTAGTGATTACCCAAGTTTATTGCGACACACTAGACGCCACTAGTCTGGTGATCTACACAGTTCGAGTTGGTGACGCAGGAAGCAAACAATAATCGTTGGCAACAATAGCGACTCGTACGCAATCACATCAAGTAATTTGTAGTTTCGTTCACAATGAGGAAGCATTATTCAATTTCGTTAGACATGCAGATCAAACAGTAATAAATCGGCAGGTTTAGGCTGCAGTAGCATCGACTTCGCACACCTGCTTGCCATCGAGAGCTTCACTAATCCATTGTGAAATGTGAGCAGCCATGTCGCGCGTTCCGTTCTTTTCCATCATGAAAGCATGAGCTTGTGGCACAACGCGGTGTTGCGCGTTCGGGAAGCGCACCTGGTATTCCTGCACGAATTCTGCTGGTACCCACTCGTCCATCGTCGAGTAGACGAACAAAGTCTTACTCTCGAACTCTGTAATCAGCTCATTATCCAGTTCTGTCACGTATTTCATCTCATCTGCAGCCATTCCCAATACATTACGCATGACACTCGAATTAACCAGTGACAGCGACGCCAACTGCAGCGTCTCCGACGTTTTAGATCCCACCACACAACGTACAATCCAGCGACGTAGCACAGAAGGCACTAGATATTCCACTGCTCCAACCAGAGTCACTCCACGCTCGTAGTGGTTGAACAGCGGCATCATCTGCTTGCCCTTAGGGGACAATGCCATGTGCATGATAGTCGGCTGCATGAGCACCAGTTTGGCGATCTGTTGAGGGAATCGCCGTGCAATGTCCAGTGCAAAGTAGCTGCCGATTGAATGGCCAATAACTACGAATTGCAACGTCGGATCGTCACGTAGACGGTGTTGGAGGTAGAAGGCTTTGTGTTCAAGTTGCTCTTGGAGAGAGAAAGCGCGGCCGTTGTTCTTCCAGGGCATGAAATGGCCCGCGTGTGACAAGCAGCGGACTTCGTGATGACGTCCGTGCTTCTTGACGAGCTCCTGCATGAGTGGAAGGTAGTAGAATGGGACTCCGGGGTTGCCAGGGATGACGAGCACGAGAACATTGTGTCCTTCGGGCTTGTCCATTGGATAATAGACCAGCGACTGTGCCTGTGTGCCATCTCCATCCACGAGATGCCACTCTTCAGCTGGAGCTGAGATTGGACTGTGGAGCACAGCATCATCGTGGTGGGAGTGATCGAACTCGACGGTCAGTTGGCGACTCAGTGCACTGTGGAGACGCAATTGGTCCAGGTGGCCACGACGACGGTGGTACACGAAACGAGCGAGCGCCAGGGCGAAGACGGGCGCTAGTACGCTGTGGCGCTGGGCCTGCAGCTTGAGATTCTCCACGAATTCCGTCACGCTTGGAGGTACCGAAGATGCCATCTTGGGATCAGATATCGAATGACACATTGGAGGCTGGCATGTGACGTTGATGGACGCCCAACGTAAACTAAACATCGGTCTCATTGGTTATATTTAAGATAGCTCGGGATTGGAGAATACATTAGATTAGAAAAATTATCCTCCAATAATATGTGAGCTCAGATTTAACCAATGAAAGAATGTTGACATGACGGTCAAGTTCAAGCAACTTACTGCTAATATGACCGACGAGGTCTGGGATGACGCCGCGCCGCGCGCTTTTGACGCGCGACCAACCGGTTTGAAGGCGCTGGTGATGGGAGAGATCGATTCGTCTTTGCGTCTGCTGCATGCCGCGACCTGCGAGCTGCTTGAGGCTGAGAACCACGACGAACTGGAACAGGCTATGACACGCGTGCTGGGATGGATACGCCGGCAGATCTCGACGTCGCCACTGCGTGTTGAGGCGCCAGCAGAACTGCCAGTGGTGACGGAATTATCTCAAATCTTTCTGCAGTGGCACAAACTGCAGCAGACGATGAAGACGCCAATGAACTCGCGGCTCTGGATGCTCTGGGTGGAACTGGGCTGCACTCTGGCTGTGCTGCATTGCTGTGAGGAAGAGAAGAAGGTGGAGAGCTTTGCGCAATTGGTGGCGACATCACAAGCACCTAGTGACTTTCCGACGTCAAGTGCGCACTGTGACAGCGAGAATCAATTGTCTTTTAGTTGCGAGCTGTGGAATGCGGTGCTGGTCAGGCCGCTGTATGGAGCTTCCGCGAGTGTAATTAGTGGCGCGGTGCCGAGATTGGTGGAGATTTTCCTACATTGGATGTCGACTGCGATGCGTGGGTATGAACTCGTGTTCATTGCCAATGTAGCTACACCGCTTCGGGGGTATCTTCAAACTTCGACGAACAATTTACTATTGGTGGATGCGTGGTTAAAGTTTGCAGTTTTCAACTTGGGGGCTGAGAAGATTAAAGAGAACGCTGCAAGTGTAGCACTGACAGCGTTAGTTTTGAGTGCATTGACGTCGACTAGAAGAAGCCGTGAAGCGACGAAGTATCTGGAGACGATGAGTGCTGCGACTGTCGATCAGTTGGCACGTGGAGGATTCCTGCAGCCATATAACCCCGTTACCATTGTTGCGTTTGCGCTTGGCGTCGCATGTCTCGACGACGCGAGAACGTCGACCGCTGTCCAGTTGCAATCGGGGAATGCGACGCTGCTCTGCCAGTTCGTGGTCATGCGACTTGTCAACTTGCAGCTTCTCTCTTCACGCTTAAAGCCATACGATGATGCTGCCTTGTTGGGGTATAAAAGGCAAGTTCAGCAGAGATTGAAGACTTTGGTTCTTGAGCCGTCAAGCGCTGTCCTACAAGAATTCTCGTTACGAATGACGGAAGTCTGTATCGAGGAGATGGTCGGGTTTTTCCAGTCTTCACGCGAGACGTACCTCTCTCTAATGGAGACTGTGCAAACTGTGCTTCCGTCAGATCTCTTCCGTGCGAACGTTTTAAACCAGCTCAAGTTCTCTGCTAATTCATCAGCCCACGATGACAGTCTACTCGCTTCTGCATCGGATATAGTGGCGTACATCAAACAGTTCTACAGTGTCGTAGCTCCACTGGTAGAAGTGCAATCTACAAGCCATCTCGCGCGATCCTTCCTCGCCCTCTCTCGGATTGAGTTCGCACGCGAAGTCTGTGCATCGTCCACTGCCGATTCGTCCATGCAGTCAGTGACACAGCAATTGGAAGTGAAGCTGGAGCAAACGACACCTCCTGACTCGATTTTCGCGCCGATCTTGCGTTCTCTCGCAATGCATTTGACCGCTACGACCAGCTTAATCCCTCCTGAGATGGATATTGTAGCTGGATGCCAGACGCTGGCGGTTGGTCTTGTGATTCAACGCAAGCTCCGCATTCTATTGTTCCAATGTGCACCTCTGATCGACAATGCACTTGCTGTGGTCTTCTCAGGTCTCTACAACGTCTTCGAACCGGTGGATGCATTTGCTCATCGGTTTCTTGGTGTGTGTCTGTCACATCTCGGTCAGTTCACTCCGCTCTTCACGGTTTTCCCGCATTATTTACAAGTCACGCTGGCTGCGTATCCAGCTAATGCATCGCCTCAAGATCTGACCAAGGCGTGCGGTAACATTTTTGGTTCACTATTTTACTCTGAAGCTCTCACGATGAAGTTGGGGCAGGATAGCGAGATCATTGAGACAACCCAGCGAATGGTACTGTGGGCGATCCGAAAATGCTGTGAACGTAGTACTGAGCTACTTGACCAAGAAGACACGGCAAAGGAAGCTACTGCTGTTACGAGGGAGACCGATGGCTTGTATCTTGCTGGATTGGTGTTTGAACTCATGAAGATGACGCCGTTGAGTGTCTTGAAGGCTTGTGCGATGGAAATCGAACAGCTCCTTCTACATTGGAAGAGCAATCCTAGTGTACTGCGTCGGCTGAAGAGTGCACTTTTTGCCAGGATCTCACAGAACTGCGAGGCTGAAAAGCGTGCGTGGCTTGCTGCTTGGTACATCGAAGTTGACCAGCAGTACCCAGCCGAGACTACTGCCCAGTCCGTGGCGACATCTCGCCTGTAACTTCATTCCAGGCACCTAATGTGAATTTCAACTTTCGCTTAATGCTATTTTTTTCAGTTATTTCGACGCGGACAATTGCCTACATCCAGATAAATCTTGCTCCAGTACGCAAAACTTGAGATTCTCAGAGTTTATAGACGCTTGTCGCCGTCCCACTTGTAAAATCCCTCGCCCGTCTTGCGTCCCAATTTGCCTTCCGCCACCTTCTTACGGATAATCTCCGGCACGAAGAACGCTGGTTCGTTCGGGTGGTCACGCACCCATCCTTCCAGGATGAAGAGTGTCGTGTCCAGGCCCACGTAGTCCGCCAGCGTAATAGGTCCCATGGGGTGGCCAGCACCGAATTGCATACTCACGTCAATATCCTCCTTCGTGGCATCTCCACGCTCATACAGAGAAATAGCCTGAGCTAAGTAGGGAACCAGCAGGCGGTTGACAATAAAACCCGGTGTGTCCTTGCAGCTCACTGGGTGTTTGTTAATGTCCAGCACCCACTGCTTGCAGGCGTCGAAAATCTTGGGATCTGTGGCATCAGTGCGAATGACCTCCACGAGCTTCATGAGCTGCACGGGGTTGAAGAAATGAAGACCCACGACCTGCGACGCACGACCCGAGGAACCCGCAAAGTCCGAGATGGCCAAAGACGACGTGTTGGACGCCAGGATGGCCGAGGGCTTGGCTACTTTGCCCAGATTCGCGTAGAATTCCTTCTTCACCTCCACGTTCTCCACAATGGCCTCGATCACGAGGTCGCAATCTGCTAGTTCGGCCAATTCTGTGGTTGGTCTGATACGCGCCAACGTGGCAGCGGCCTGTTCGTCCGCTTGCTGCTGCGTGAGCGTGCCCTTCTTCACGCCGCGACTCAGTAGCTTACTCAGTGAGCCTTCGATACGCTTCATGCCGCTCTCGAGGCCCTTGGGGTTGGCGTCAAGAGCCACGACATCGAAGCCCGCGGTGGCTGCGGTCTGTGCGATGCCGTGGCCCATGAGGCCCAGACCGACCATACCCACCTTCTGGATCTTGATGTCGCCCGCGGAGGTGGCAAGGGCGCGCGCCAAGAGCGACGGCGTAGAGCGAGGAAGCGAGCGAAGAACGAGACGCAGCATCGAATTTCGGGGGATCAAGTTGTGACTTGGACGCGGATAAAAGACTGACGTGGGTCTTCAGACTTGATGGGCTTTCGTGCGTCATACGTCGTGTTTACGAAGCGGACCCGACGTGCGATCTTCAACTAGCAGATTAGAGAGGGTTTAACAAACGAGTTTGGAGGGTTATTGTGTATCTAAATGTTTGCTCCAGACCTGTTGAAAATGATTCGGGGACATGCGCGAGCTGATTGGTCGGGATGGCATTCAGACGAAAAACACCCATTAAAATGTTAATGGGTTTTTATCGTCTGAATGCCATCCAAGCATATTTTATCACGACCCACAATTTGACTTTTTTGATTTGGGTTCCGAATAACCCAAATGAACCATGCCGTTGGATGGCATTCAGACGAAAAAAACTCCATTAAAATGATAATGGTTTTTTTCCCGTCTGAATGCCATCCAACGCCCGTCAGCTCGCGCATGATACGAAGACACATGGCTTCTTCCATAGGCAATGTCCAACAATGTCCAACAAGCAAGAGCTCGGCACACAAAGAAATCAGTGCAAATCATGACCAAACGATGCCACGCGACGCATTGAGCTGTATGTCAGTCTTTGTCCAGCAATTGAAGGTGTACCTTATCAGGAGCATTATGTTCCACCCTCGTCAGCGTCACTGCAGAATTTGTTGGCAGCTCAACACCACGCTTCACCGCAGCACTTCATGCTTCTACAGCAACCACACCAACACTATCGCTTCACCGCAACGTTGCCGATCTTCTTGCTCTCCGCCCTCTGCCGTCTGTCCACCTCTGAATCAGTACAATCATCTTTCGCAGGGTTAAGTGACGTATCTTCGTGAACGAGCGTTCATTCCGCCAAAGTCTCCTCTACTGTCATGGCGGCTACCGAGCGTACGCACCTGCTGACGCGCAGCCTCAGTGGCTCATGGGAGAACGGCCACATGAATGTCAAGCCCTACGGCCCAGCCGTGACGCTGGCCATGGCACTCAACTACGTGATCGGCACAGGCTGCTTCGGTCTTCCGTATGCCTTCATGGAAGGCGGCATCGTTCTCGCTCTCATTCTCATGATCGTGGGCGTCTTGGGCTCTCTCCTCACTATGAACTACACTCTCGAGTCTCTCGCACGTGCTGAAGGAGTGTGTGCAGCAACTGGCGGCGGCGCACCGCGTCATCAGATCACGTACCGCAAGTTCGAGTTCGCTACTATCGCCGAAATGTTCGTGGGAAGACTGGGCAAAGCAGCGGTGCAGCTGGTCATGGGCTCGTATTGCATCGGCTCGCTCTGGTCATACGCGTCTGTCTTCTCGTCGTCTACAGCCTCGCTCTTCTTCACGTACGTGTTGGGCGAGTCCTGCGACGTATACGGTGAAGACCCGTCCAGTGGCTGTTTGGAGGGATACTACGTGTTCATGGCAATATTCTCAGCCATCGTATTGTCTATGGTGCTCATGGATATCAGCGATCAAGCGCTAGTACAGAAATTCCTATCTGTATACCGTATCGTTGCCTTCGCACTAATGTTGATCACCATGACAGTCAAAGTGGCGAGCGACGGGAGCGACGCTGTAGCGTCTCGCTATGCTGCCATTGGAACAGTCAACTGGGGCAACTTTGGCAAGGCCTTCGGACCCACATTACTGGCTCTCAACTGCCAGTACAACATGCCAGACGCCCTACAGCCCCTGGATCCCAAGTCTAAAGCGCGGTTCGTGGCGTTTGCTGCGCTTCTAATTGCTGGTACTTGCTACCTGCTTGTGGGTCTGCTTGGAGCGCTCTCGTTTGACAAGATTAATCCACTAGCGACGCTCATGTGGAGCTCCTACACTGGCTGTGGAAATGGATGGGAAGAGTGCGAACACTCGAACCCTGTGGGGATCATCGTCCAGCTCATTATTCTGCTTTTCCCCGTCATCAACGTCGTATCGGCCTACCCGATGGTTGGAGTCACAGTGGGCGACAACATGCTCATGTCCTTCCCGTCACATCTCACGGATCGATTCGGTGAGAAGATCACACGCAGTCTGTGCAGACTGTCGGTTGCAGTGCCGCCCATTCTGTTCGCTATCGTGTTCAAACGTCTGGACTTCATCTTCGCCATTGCAGGACTGTTCGGCTTTCTACTGGGACTCACGATTCCCTGCTGGTTCCAAGTCATCGGTAGTCGCTACTGCCAGCAAGTGTGGGGATTCCCGGGCGCAGCGATCACCGAGTTCACAGAGCCGATTGTGAGCTCAGTCCCGTTCGCTAGCTGCTTCCTGGCTCTCACTTTTGTCATCACTGCAGTCGCTATTGGCACACTGAATGCATGAGCCTAAGAAAGTGGTGTAGAACCTGAAGATAGAGACCGAATGGGGAAATACACCACGCATCGCGAAAGTTTTCGCCTTCGATTATCCTTTAGAACTTGTGGAAGTTGTAAAGATTTTGTTGGTTAAAGCTCTTCTTTGAATTCTTGAGATGTCTCCGATGAACGTGGTTTTGAGTACCATGGAGACGTTCCGACTGGATATGACGCGTATTTCCGATCGTCCAGTGTGGCTTCAGCTGCATTTACCACTGGAGTCCAAAGTGTCCACGCAGCTTCCACTTCGTCTAAATCCGCAAAGTGCTCAATAGCGCCATCTACAATTTCTCGCAGTAAGAAATCGTACGCTGAAGGCTTATTTCCTAACTCCCATGTAGCAGTTCCATGGTCATCTTTCTTGGAGGTAATGACGCGTTGATCATCAACATCCACGTACTCCCAGCCACTTGGAAGTTGGAGATCGGGTAGCACTTTACTTACATCACAAGACCATTCTATTCTGTGGCCCTCGCTTGGGTTGGCGTTGAGTGCTCGCTGAATAATAACAGCGAAAAAGCATTGTTGAGCTTGAAATACGCCGGCTCTGAAGGTGACAGTGACTGAGAGTAGGCGTTCAGCAGTGGCTTTGGCTGCAGCAAGGCGAAATGCGGTGTTTCTCCATTCTTCTAGTGAGCTTGCTAGTTCAATCCAGGCAGCTGTCGGTGTGAAGTGGTCGCTTTCGTCGATGCTTTGGTTCATTTCGGCTTCGTAGTGTGCAGCATATTCGTCATACTGAGCGACAAAAACTGGCTGTTGCATCTGCTGACTGGGCGTATGTAGTGATTCGATAAATCGGATTTGAGCGTCATGAACTCTCGATGCGAATGCATCGGAAGAGTGCGCCGTTGAATAAATTGAAGGGTCAAAGGACGGTGCTACTGCAACATTTAGAAGCAGTTGCAAGTGATTCACCATGATGTCGCGAATGATACCAGCGCTGTAATAATTCCAGTCATTGAGTCAGAGAATAAATACCTATGAAGACTCTTGCAGTCGTAGTTACCTGTCAAAATAACGCACTCGGTTTTGTAATGTTGCTGTTTCGGTCATCTCGATCTGGAGAACAGCGCAATAGAACAACTATGAGTCATTATTTCACAGTTTTGAACTGGAATACAAAGGCACGTACGCGAATGTCGTGAATGTAATTTGAGTTCCAAAATGGATGCAGTTCAGCTGCATTTAGCTGGAAGTAATTGCGAATTGCATGAACTACTGGCTTGCCAGCGTAATGGTCCATCACAAACAGCTCGTCATTCTGGAAACAATAGATGTCAGAGACAGGAATACTGGTCACAAATGTTCCATTCTCAAGACTTACGGTATATATTGTCCGGAGACGCGTAGCAAGTTTATGAGCTGATTGAAGATCTCGACCAAAGGGTTTTTCCACCACAACCCGCAGAAATGGAGCAGCAGCTTCAGTCTCCTCCCGTTGTGGTCTCAAGTAGCGATGAATCAGCTCACAACTCTAATTAATAAACGCCGTCAACACCAATTGACGCATAACCTGGCTATCACGACCATTTACTATACCTGAAGGAAAAATTGAGGCGGGATGGCTAGATACACGATCCGTCCCTCTTCGCTCGAACGCTGCGTGGAATGCATCCCATCCATGCCGCTTGTGAAATTTTCATTCGCCTCCGCCAATCTTCTCCCCAACTCTCGATAATTATTCTCCGTTCTCAGTGGTGCATACTGCACATTCTGCTTGAATTCCATCTCCAGAAACTCACGACACTTGAGCTGACCTGCCGAAATATTGTCCTCTAAAACTCCGCATACTCTCTCGGCAAACTTCTCATCGAAAAAGTTCTTGTGCCATATCCTTCCTCGTTCCAAGCTATCCGATGCCCCCGCAAAGAATCGAAACGTCCGTCTGGAGGTTGATTTGCCTTGTAACGCCAAGCGGAACATCGTTACCCACAGATACTTTGCGGCCAAATCCCCCGTGGCACCGGCTACGATGACATTTACCACTTGTTCCATGTCACCATTGACGGGGGATTGCGATGGTATCTGCAACGCTGTAGCAGAGTGAGTGAATAGTGTTGTACGTACGAAGATGCTCAAGAAGGTGGACAGCACCAGCGCTGCAGACAAGAGACGACGCTGCATGCTGGACGTGTCGCTAGGATGCTTATCGAAAATTCAAATAACAATAGTGAATATCATAATTGAATATCACAATATCTAATAGATATTGTTCGAAAAACACTCATCGGTACGCATGCTGATTGGCTAGGATGACTGTCTATTAACTTTTTTTTAGTGCTTAAAACTCGTCGGTACGCATGCTGATTGGCCGGGAACGCATTTAGACGAAAAAAAATTAACATTTTAATGGTTTTTTCGTCTGAATGCCATCCAGTTTACATCTTTTGTTTATGGCCAATCAGATCTCTCGAAATATTTTTGATGGTCAATGTCTGGAATCTCCATTTGGGATATACAGAAAAAGCTGTTTGTAGATTAAGGGAGCCTCCTACACGAATCAGTATCACGAGACGCATACTAATACTTGGCTTTTTAACCAAGATGTACTATTATAATAGACCCTTGGATAGTGAAAGGCAAATTGCGAACTGGAGTTCTGTTTTGATCGTGTCACACGTTGAAGACTCGCTTCGCGTGACATCCCTTTATTACGTGCTTTTGAGAATTTACGATCTTCACATGTTCTTTCCTTTAGAGACCGAGTTTTATCTTCAACCACCATCGTTCGTAGCAATAATTCATTGTGCGCAACGCGATACTCAGACAACACTTCTATTGACTATTTATTGGTCACACTTATAAAGGAGCTAATAACTGTCGACGCTTGCTATTGAGAATACCTGTATGGTACATGCATTCTCAAAAGCAAGCGTCGACAGTTATTCATTGTAGCAGGTACAATGCCACGTGGAAAACTGTAGCCAATCTCGAGATTTTGGCCCTGCGTGGTTTCCTCACATTCTGTACTGTTCGTAATACTTGCAGCTTCTTTCTGCTATATTTCTTCACTGCAGTAGTGATAGTGTATAGTTTTTTTGCCTCGAATATTTGGAGAAAATTGACGGTATACTCGTTTTGACAACGAGCACGGTAGAATTTCCTTTTCGCTCTCCTCCGCTCTTATTTTGCCTTCCAGCGTGCACAAAACATGTAATTTACTCTCGAACAAGCAGATCGGGAATACAGTACATGTACGGTGTACTATACTCAATTCACTCCCGATGTGCGAGCACGTGTCAGCGCAAAAGTATGTGCGTTCGGAGCTTGCGATTTGCTCACCAGGCTGATCGGCGTCACAATGAGTCATTGTGACGCCAATGACTCAAATTTTCATTTCGGTAATTCCCTGACCACACCCACGCACAACTTGTGCGCTTGCGCGGCACAAGCGCTGGAGCAGCCGTCACCCTCTCAAAGTAACACGAATGCCATGCGTTTGTACTGCATAGTGCTAGCTATTGCCCTTATGTCCTCCATCAATTCGGCTGCTACCTCCGGGGTAACAAGAATCTCAAACTCGGCTATTCTGGTGATCAGACTGGAAACCATAGTAGTCGATTATTGCAGAGTATTAACGCGAGGAGTGAGGAGAAGAATGAAGAGAGAGAGAGGAGGTTTTGACAGATGGAGGGATGAAGCGCAGCGGTAGTATCAAAAGCGAAAGTTCCCGAGGAACTCAAGTATTGGCTCGGATACTCATTCACCATGGACGAAGTGCTCAAGATACTAAAGCTTGACGACGAGTTGTCTGCGCTTCTAGCTAATCCGAAATTGAGCATTTGGATTCAGTATGGTCGACTCGTCGGTAAGGAGAACAAACTCTCAAGCTCGCCTGTCATAGCAGAGCTGACCAAGCGCTACGGAGTTGCGAAGCTATCTGAGTCGATTCAAGCACCAAAAAAGTCTGTGTGGACGAGAAAGATCGCGCAAGAGCTTCAAGACTTGAAGCTAAAGCAGTGGCTGGATGCAAAAACAGATCCAAAGGTTGTGTTTGTCCTACTGGGTTTGAAAATGTCGAAGCCGGTTCTCGAAAGCAGTCCGAACACGCCGGTTTTCGCTAGATACTACAAGATATTTAGCGAACTCCATTTAAAAGCCTAGACGCCTTCAAAATTTACGTAGTTGTCACAAACACTGTTACGATTCAACCTAAATCGAAAAGTTGCAATTTAGTCGTAAACGTGTCCGCGCAGAATCAGTACCTGTCGATTCCTTATACAAGCGAAAGTTTCTGCGCACGTCGCCTGACTCCAACGACATACTTGACAGTGTGTATATCCAGAATTTCGGCGACAAGTACGTGATGCTGCACTCGACAATGACAAAAGATCACCCGGATATCGATAACGGATCTTCGATTGAAGAAGATGATGCCCGGGCGGACGAGAAGAACTAGTGGCCTCAGTACCCGGAAATGCTGGTGGGTTGTCAAAATTAAGACAAAACTGAAGACCGCGAAGAATGGCTTCCTGTGGGACTTTTTCCGTGCATTGATGCCCCGAATAGTCGGACAAATTAGAGCACCGTCGCAAGAGAGGAATCGCTCACCCCGTCACTTGAGAGCGCTGCTGTGGGCCTAATTTCTACTGCGGACTTGGAGTAGTCAAGCTGTCGATGTGAAACTACAGGGAATATCCACGGTACATATTGGTGAAGGCTTCTCCAATCTCGAAGCTCGCCTGACATGTGAAATAACCTAATTCAATAGACAATTTCGCTGTACCTCATGTAATACTAAATGTATTGCTTCAGATTATTTTTTTGTAAATGTACTTACTACTCAAGTATCGACGCGGCTTTGTTAGAAGTGGATGAAGCTAGGCACAGTGTAAATATCGGTACATGTAGAGTACACAGTCTGTGTGAACACAGGGCACAAAAGGCCAAAGCCTGTTGATATACAGAAGTCTAGGACCATTGGTCATAGGCAGAGCTCATTTTTACGACATGAGCTCTAATTGGCGTGTGAAATTCTTTCTCAACAAAAAACTTGTCTGACGTGGTTGAAAGGCAAAGTACGTGTCACCAATCTGATTGGCAGAGCTGCAGCACCACCCTCACTTCAAGAGCAGTGGTTGACAAGCATTGCACGAGGGTGATTCAGTTTCACGCTGCAACGCAGCAACACAATGCAATAACCTTCTCTCTCGTGCCATCACCGGGAGAGCATCCATCTTTCGCACTTGGTGGTGGTGCTCAACATATGACAGCAACTTGTCCTTGCAGCCACGTAGCCACTTCCTAATCTAGGAACTGGGCCTATTCATCATCTCTTATCATGTGGTACACGTAATGTGGGGCTACTTTCTGCCCTAAACAGGCGTTCAAGACACCAAAGTACACTGATTGAGTTTTCGCGCCAGGTCCATTTCATCATTTCTGCACGAGCAGCTACGCACGAACCCTCGGAATCCGTACAAACTGGAACCATGGCTGAGACTGCTGCCCCCGAGACGCCCGCACCGGCTGCTGCCGTAAAGGAATTCACGCTGGAGGACGTTGCCTCGCACAACACGGCGGAGGACTGCTGGATGGTTATTCGCGATGACGGCATCCGCAAGGTGTATGACGTGACGGCCTTCCTCGACGATCACCCCGGTGGCCCGGAGATTATGGTGGACGTGGCTGGCCAGGACGCCACCGACGAGTTCGAGGACATCGGCCACTCGAATGACGCCCGTAATCAGCTGAAGCAGTTCGAGATCGGCAAGATCAAGGGCGACGTCAAGAAGGAGGCAGCCGCCAAGACCAGCGCCGGCGGCTCTAAGGTCTCGGCTAGCGGTCGACAGGACATCAGCGGTGACAACGGCCCGCTATACGCCGTGCTGGCGGCTGTGGTGGCCTTCGCCGCGCTCTACTTCAAGTACCAGTAAGCGGCAGGGCGGTCGCGAAGCGCAGGACAAGAGAATGGGTGGCTGGCAGGGCGCCGTGCCGATGTCGAACAACTCGTGGCCGGAATAAACTATCATTACATATAAGGACTTTTTGGCTTTGCAATACTGGACACGATGGAGTTCCTGGGGTGTGTGTTGCACTGCGAATTGACCAATGTAGCCATCTGAGTGTTGTCCTCTGGTTGAAGAGAGAAACGCAGGGCAACGGAACAGCAGCGCGGTAATGCATTGGCACGGGGTTATATTGTCTGTCGCGCCTTGTACGCTCTAACCTCCGCTTGACAGGTAACTTAAGACTGACTGGAAGACGCCCCGGAGCTTGGAGCGTTCTTGGCAGCATACAATTTGTTCCACTGCGACTGCACGTCTCGCTTATTCTCTTTCTTAATCGCATCTGCAGCGCGCAAACAGGTTACAAATGAGCGCGATCACATCATTGCCAGGATATGCAAACTACGTACAGGATTGCGCATCGATGCGAAGACTATCAGCACGTCGCTTCATTTTCTCTGTACAAGCCGAGATCTCTTGCATCGCCAGCTTAATCCCTTGCAACTTCTTCGCGTAGAACGGCAGCTTCTCCAGCACCACCGCCGCATCCTCTAGCTGCTTGTTCGACTGAAGCCCAGCGTTCTGTTCCACCAACATCTTTAGCAGTCGCTGCACCAAATAAACCGCTGTCAGTCTACTTGAATCAGCCCACATTTCGGTGGAAAAGTTAGTACTGTACCCGCTGACTCTCCTTCAACTCGGCTATCCGGTGGATCGTCGCGTCCAGCGAGGGCTGCACCGTGCCAACGAAGGCGTTGCCCATGACCTCAATGCCGTTTATTGATTCATCCACTTTCCACAGCTCCTGCTTCTCCACTGTCGTTTCTGTATCTTCCTCAGTTGTCTGTTTAGTCTTTGAGGTCTCCACCTCCTCGTTGTTGACCTGCTTTTCCTTCTCGTGATTTTTGTCTAGCTCTTCCCCTTTCTCCTCCTTCTCTACTTCTGTCACCATAAATTCCGCATCACCGTTTTCTTCGTCACTCTCTTCGTCCTCCTCGCCTTCAGCACCTACTGATGGTGCTACGACCGTGGGAACAGCAAAGCGAGGCGCCGACGCCGACTGTGAGCCGAAGCCGTTGAACTGGAAACTCATTTCTGCACTCAATTAGGCGGCATATCAGCGCAAACTGTCGCGATATAGAGATATTAATTGCCAGAGATAGCAACTACCTTCCTCATCTTCGTCGTCCTCTTCGCTGTCTTCACCTGCGAGCACTCGACCGCCGTGGATATCCGCCATCGTCTTCTCTAGGTGATCGGTAAATATGCTCTTGCAAAGTGAGTCGGACCATGATACGCAATTGTTTTAGCCAATCACACTGGTTTCTTTGGTTTTACTGACCAATCACGTGTTATCAAGGTAAGCATGCTCGTAAGAAGAAATTGCAGCAACAGCAATGCTGTTGTCACTTCACTTAACACTTAATGAAGAATCAGTCCTTTGCATCAAGGCACCAAAGTAATTGAGACGTCTCATGTTGTCTTCATGTAGTGATGACCAACTTGTACAATTGGTCGGTATTCTATAAAGATCAGCGGCGCAGACGTGTCTCCGAGATGACACGAAGTGAGTCTCGTGCACGATCCATCCACCGTTCTGCACCAGACACAAGGCAAAGCAAAGAACATATCAGCACAACTACCATTGTATTCCACACGTATAGATTAATACCTGCTTCCTCAGCAACTTGACGCAGCGTCTGGGCCTCCTCGTCACTTTCAATTTGCAGCCTTCGCAGCTCCTCCATCTGCTCACTACAGCAGCACAACTCATCAGAATCAGACCATCTAACAGATTTTCAACGCCACTCACGCCTCCGTTTTGTCGAGTCCTGGCAGGTCGTCAATTAGCGCGTCAGTCTCCTGCACCATCTTCAGAACGTCGTTCGCCAGCGTCGTGATCTGTCCACAGAACAACGAATTAGCGCCCAAATTATTTCTAATTCTTTGCTAACTACCCTCACCGCGTCCTTTGTCTCCTGATTCTTGGCATCATCTCCGGTTGCTGCGGGCAGTAGTCGCAGAGCGTTGAACATGCTCAGCGCCATCTTGTCCACGCTCTCCTGCAGCAGCGACACCTTGTCAAGTGTGATGACACCCGCATCCGTGGCATCCGTGTCTGCCATGTTCACGTCGCCGCTTTCGCCCAGCTGCATCGCCGCCAGCTCGTCCTTCACACCGTCGGCCTCCATGGTGACAGCTTGGCTCTTAGGGTAATTATCGCACTTAAGTGTAAATGCTCTTAAATTCGAAAATGGTTACAAAAAGTATTGTACAAGCTCAATGAATCATGTTAGCTGTTGATTCCAAGCTTTTAACCACTGTTGATGCAAGTTAAGAAACAACGTTCACATGGACAGCACTCTCGCTTTTGCTTGCTTTCGACAAGACTCCAGTCATGATGAACGCCTCTGCGACCCTCTCGATCTGTATCCTTGGATTCCTCGCCAACTTGGCGTCGGCTTGGTACGGCACTGTGACCTTCTACTCAGACGTGTACTTCAAAGGCTCGACTTACCCGTGGGGCATTTCTAAGACTCAGCGATGCTACAATCTCGCTTGCTGGGACAACCGAGCGTCCTCGGTCAAGTGGGAGGGACTACCTACGAAAGGAAGCTTCAACGGCGAGTCACGCATCGCCTTCTTTACTGGTAAGGACTGCACGGGTGACAGTCGAGACTGGCCAACGGATGGATACATCAACGACATTGAGGGAAATTATCCCCAGGACTTTACGCTGGACAAGATCAACGACGCAGTTTCGTCGTTTATCATTTGGGAGTCGAGCAAGAAGATCACGAACGGCAAGGACACACCTTGTCCGTGGGGAACAAGCTGATTGTATCTGGTCTATACAGTACTGACCATCTTGGAACGAACGTTGCGTTTGTTGGTATAACATCAAAAATACAATGGCATTACATTCAGATTTCCATCAATGGCACTAGTACATCAGTGGCGACACAGTCGGCCCCGAGAGTTTAGTGGCTACTGCATCGGGTACGAGACGACCGAATGTAAGAGCGGAATATGTGCTGCACCATGATCCCATCAGACTGCGTACATTGGCACATCCACTGTATACCCTCCGCGTGAGCGTCGCTTGTGGTAAAATGAAGATGCTCGAAGCATATCCAGAGGCCGGTAACAAGTACTGGCAATTAGAAGCGCAGCAAATGACACAATGTGAATCCTGAACTTCCGTTTCAACTGTTGTAGTGAGTTGGCCACGCCGACCTGGCAGTTGAGCGCTCGGTATCACATTTTCTTTACTCAATTGCAGCGTAGCGAAATGTTACAGCTTCGCTCCAGTCGCTAATCACTTTGACCGTCATGATTTCCAACTTGAGCATTTCGAAGGCCACGATCAGCACGTACACGAAGATGAGAGACGGTACCAAAATATGCTATTGCAAGGGCGACAATGTTGGTTTACTCCCACAGTTCCGGAGTCAAGAACCTATTCCCAAAGATGAACATCAGGTACGGTGCCATTTGAGCTGGACACATCACTTCAAACAGCTCCAGCTTACACATCCTGAGTGGGAAGATCCAATCTCTTGGCACTCTAAAGTGCTTGGCCACCGTAGCATTCGGCGCCCTAGTCACTTCGCTATCCTCGTCCTCCCCAACGGCGGGACAGTGCACACATCGTTGCCAGATCTCGGAAGGTTCTGGTCCGATAAGGCTCTCAACAACAACTCCATTTCCCACGACTTCCTCCTCCACCTCTGGCGCAGTTGCAGGCCTCACATCGTCCTTAAATAGTCCCTCAAACTCCTTAAACGCGAAAATATTGGCATAAAATCCGAACTTGGTGTCGACAAACCTCACTGGTACGGCTGTCGACGTTTCTCCAGCCTCGTACAGTGAGCTATTAAACACTGTAAGCTCATATCCATCTGGCACCTCTAACTTTCCCTTATTAGTGGTGCGTAGATACTCCAACCCAGCCATGGTTACACCCACATCGGCATTGTAGTCCCACGGCACAAGCTGCCGCGCTCTGTAGATCCCCAACAAGGTGCCGCTATCGACCCAATACACCACATTAGCGTTCTCTAACATGACCTTCAGCGCGTATACAAGATCTTCCAGAGCATGCAGCCGTTGATCCGCAGTGACACACATTCCAGGTTTGACGTAGCGAGCGTCGCGGTGCGCGCTGGAGATGCAGCGACGAAGCGAGCTGGAGGACGGCAGATGATCGCTGAGTAAACCGCCCTCATGGAGCGGCGCATACAACAAGAACAGCCCGAAGAGGAGCAGCTGCGAAGCCACGATCAGCGCGAACTTGATCTCTCGTCGCCGCGATATCATTGTGTTAAAAGTAGATGACAACTTCTAAACTATGATTATGATGAACATGCGTTTATGAATTTTGATGGGTAAATCGGAATTGATGGGTAGAGTACCGTACCCCGATCACACTAATTATTAACATGGTTTTTTTTTGTTACGACCAGGTGAATATTTTCGGAGTCGAGTCTAGGCCGACAATAGACACTTTTGTAGGTGACAGTAGACACAAATGTGCAGCGGGTAGACACAAATTGACAACAGTACACAGGGACAAGCTATACAGTCCATCCGTAGATATATTACTGGCCTATGGAGTACACACCTGGCTCGTGCACATGGAACGGACTCACATGCGTCGCAGTTTGCGACTCGCAGATCCACTCAATTGGCAACCAGCCAGTCCGCTCCTGGCATTGCATCTAGCACAACGGATACCATTCAAAGACTTGAAACTAGCAGACCTACCACAACAGTATCATGCCTCCATCCCAGAACTGGTCAAAACTTGGGGAGTTTCGGAGCGAGGATGAATATGTCAAGTATCGATGGGAATAGTTCTGCTGCTCTGTCGTGCGTGGTGTGAGGACATTTGTGTGTTCTATTTGACCTGGAGACCACGAAATGATTGATCGACATCTGCATTGCAAGAGCGTAACGTGTCAACCTACCGGAGTCTCTACGAGATGCCGTGTTCGATGGAAAGTACGCCAGTGCCCTACAAGCTCTCTCTGGATAATACTTACCAACAAAGCTGCTCACATACGCGGTGATGCTGCTTGTGCGGTCCCACCGCGCCCAAAAGTGACCCCAGAAATGAAGGCGTTCATTCATCGGATGGATGAAAACGCTGTTCCACCTCGTCTAATTTGGAGCAACCTAACTGCGAGCACCTGATGTCCCGAGACCAGTGCTAGGCTATCCTTCATATGCCCAGGTTCAGCGTAGTGTCCGATATATACGCTGGCTTCAAGGATCGAAAAACTCGATTTTACGCGTGCGGGAACTCGTGCGCACGAAGGCATACTTGGCCGACACGGATCCTGAAACAGCTTTCGTATTTGGGAACATGGAGGATGAGGATGGATTTCCATTTGTAAAAAAATACAAATGGAGAGAATGAACAGCCACTGATTTCGGGGATCAATACTTTGAAACTATTACGAAGCATCTTGGCACTACAGAGCGAGGAACCATTCCTTATTTTTCACTTGGACGCTACGTTTAAGCTCAGCGATCTTGCTTACCCGGTTATTACGTGCGGTTTCACCGACAAGCGCCGTATCTACCATCTTGTTGGTTTATTTTTAGTTAGCCACCGAACTGAAAGTGAATATTACGAGGCTATCGGAGCTTTTGCGAGAGTATTTCAAGCACATATGAAGGCAACTCTCAGAATTGACGCTGTGATGGGAGATGCAGAAGCTGCTCAGCTGAATGGTTTGGTGAAAATTGCTGGTTTCGGCAACTTCAAGTACTTGCTGTGCTTTTTTCACGTATTATACAAAGTGAGTAAGCGCATCCGGCACCTGCCCGATTTGACCCGTGGAGTTGTTTATCGTGGAATTTTGGATATGCGCTATACACTTAGTGAGGAAGAGCTGATATCGGTATGGATCTGGCGATGAATGAATGGAGACGTGATTCTCGATTGCGAGATTTTGCTGATTATTTCTATAGTCACTGGTTGCAAAGTCGTTTCTGGCGCTGGCAAATTTACCATTCGCCTGGAGGTTTCGCAATAACGAACAACCCGTGCGAAGTATTCAATGCGAGCATAAAGAGATATACACAGCGAAAGGCTGTAGACACAAGACGCTTGATTTTGAAGCTTCTTACTATTGCGGAAGACTATTCGATTTGTGTACCACCTCATCAGCGATCGTCGCTTCAGATTCCTCCGCAAGAAGCCAAAACTTGGCTAAAGTTCTTGTCACAACCCAGCGGGTAGCAGTTTTTTCGTACGCCTGAGGAATCGGTCGTTCGTGTTCGGTATCTTGGTGACCAAGAGCGAGATAACAGTGATATTCTAGACATTTCTGGTATTGGTGATTCTCGGGTGGAGAGCGCTACGACAGGGAACGATCTCGTCAGTTCTGAAGGATGCCTGACGGATATGGAAATAAAAGTAAAAGACGGCAGCAACATTCTATAAGCTAGCCGTAAAATGGTCAGTCCGGCGCGCGCATCATACTGGAATGCCGACAGGAGGGTGGCTTGTTCGTACTCGCACTTTTGAGTGCATGTGTGCCTACTACAAGAAATTCCTGTCCTGCGCTCATGTAATATGTGGTCGTATGGCGTTGGGGCTTAGTGTGCCAGCCGTTGGTGGTCTGCACATGCAATTTAAGGATCGTAGAGTTCGAATCTCACGCAATAAGAGGGCAAAACCAGCGGGACACTCAATATTACGCTGCAACGACGAGAGAACGCTTTCATATGCCGAAAGAGGTTGTTGCCCTACGACGACAGAGGAAACCTCACTTTATCACCTGGGTTGGATGCCATAAATTCGTCGGTGGAGGCATTTCTATATGAATTTCATTCTGAAAATGCCCCGTTGGAAGAGAGTACAAACGGTACTTGTGAAAACAATACGGCCGCTAGCAGAGAATGTCTCGGTGTTAATTACATCGACGTTGCTGGTGACAGTGAGGCTGTAGTGTCGGAACACGTTGGACTTTCCAATTTCCATACTAACGATTTCCAATCGCAAGGAGCAACAGTAACAGCCGAAAGCCAACTTCAGAGTACAGTTAGCAATGCAGAATCCTCCGCACTTTCTGGGGTATTGAGAGTCGACATTGTGTCGCTGTTGACTCCTGCGTCTCAACCCCCACTGCAAATGGCGTCCCCGATCCATTCCAATCCTGAATTTGAAGAACAGCTCATAATCCGCAGACAGATAGGCAGACCTCCACCCGCCTCCCCTGCTCTAGACTTTCAGTATCTGTTGCGGTAATAACGTACTGTAAGGTGATAAATGCATGTAGATAGTCGACTAAAATTCCACATACCGGTGATCCTACTTGGATCAATTATACAAGCCTACTGGTCATCAACTTTTGTAGCGCCATACAGCGCCACCTCGTGTCCACCGTATCTTCGTTATGCCAATTGTTTCATTAACTTCAATTTGCTTTTGCTTTTTGCTGTTGCCATCATCGGTCGCCGCATCCGTGGGGGCCGACATACCTTGTCTTCCAGCACTGATATTGAATATTCAGCAACGTCCGGCATTGCCCACCGGCCTTCCCAGGAGGGTGCCGCCGCCTTACTGTACAAAATAAACTATGCATGAAGCAGAAATTCCGCTGAGAATAGTTTAGCCGGTTACCGCTTTTTCGTGAGGTGTGTTTGCATCGAGATGGTATT